AATGTTTCACTTTCGCCCTCCATGGCGGCGCGATCGACGCTTCACCCTCCCCAGCTCGTTAGCCGAGCTTTCTTTCGCAAGGGACGCAAATCAAATCGAGCCGCTCTCGACCAGTGTCGCCGCTCGCTCGCAGTCGCACCCGCGAGCCCATGTCGGCCGCGACAAGACACTAGAGACAATAGGGAGATGCGATCGGCGTTCTCGGTGTGTTGTCGTTTTTCCGACCGATTAGAGGCACAGTTTCGACGGGCTGCTAGATTTCAAAGCCCAGCCGTCTGTGAAGAGCCGCGGCTAAGAAAGAGAGAGTGAGAGAGAGAGAGAGAGAGAGAGAGAGAGAGAGAGAGAGAGAGAGAGAGAGAGAGAGAGAGAGAGAGAAATGTGACTCCCCGCCGCGCGTCAAGCACTTGCCACCCTGAAAATCTCCCAATTCCCGCTGCTCTTTCGAACACATGCTCCCTCTTTTCGATCGCTCGCGCGGATCCGGTTACCACCTCTCGCTCACTTGCTCCGGCTCTGGCTCCGAGGCCGGCAGTATGACACATGGAATGTGCACTCCTTAACCGACAGAGAGAGAGAGAGAGAGCGAGAGAGGGAGATCCCCAGCGTCGTTATTTGTGCAAACGCAACGTCGAGTAACTCGACTCGCAAGGACGGGATGTGCGCATCGCCCGAATGGAGATTGATGGCTTTTTCATTGCCGCTAATTTCGCGCGATTGATCGGTGTTGTCGCGAGCGAGAAAGAGAGTAGAGACCAAACGAGCCGGAGATACACGCGTTATTTATCGGTCTCTCACGGCCGACGAGGACGCGCGAAGCGTCTGCGAAATATTTATCGACTACTGCGGCCGTCGCGCGAGACAGCGGGCTAATGGGCTCTTTGAGCTGCGAACGAGCCAGCGTACGCCGCTCGATGCGCAGTGTCTTTGCAACGGACTGGCCCGTGTGCTTGGCCCGTCGGCTAATTATAGCGGCGCCGACGTTTCGTCCGTCTCTCCGCGCGATCGGCGTCCGCCGCGGCCCCAAACTTCGGCTCCGGAGCGCCCCGCCGGCAGTCGGATAAGCGCGGCCCGTGCCGCGGCGTTAATCACTTTCTCGCCGCGTCGCGTCGCGCGCGCCCGCGGTCAATCTCATCGCCGCGCCGGGGCGCCGGAGATCGAGATATTTCAATTACGCGCGGGCGCGTCCGGACGTGCGCGCGGCCTAATTGCTCTCGCGGCGCGTTGGCGGCGTCGTGTCGCAAGCCACCCCGGTGGACGTCGCATTCCGCGCGCTGCCGCTGCAATTAGCCGACGGCCGTCGCGCGGATCGTCCGGGAATGCCGCGCGGTGGCGTGTCGAGGGCATGCCGGCGCCACCGGCGGCTCCTCGGATTCTCATGTGCGAGTTCCGACGCCGCGCGAGTCAGCCGGGAAAGCCGTGGACGTAGCTTCGGCGATCGAACGAGGACCGGTACGGACAGCAGCGTGGCGTAATGTGCTGCAGTTCAAATTTTTGCAAGCGAACCCACGCTGTCGAGCGCACTCTCGCCAACAGAGAAGCTTGTGCAACGGTACCGGCGTCGCGCGGTCTCGAAAGCCGGAGAACAACGAATTTCCGTCGGATCGGAGAGGTGTGGAGCCAATTCGGGATCGCGCGAAATGCGCACGTTGGTGGGCCGAGGCGACACCGAGCGCGCGGCCAATTATAGATTCGGCGATAGCCGGTGGCTTGGGCCGTGCGCGCGTCAATTAGGCACGCGCCGTTCCGCCTCGTCGGCGTGTCCCGGGTTCGTCGGGGAAAAGGCGCGCAGCCGGTCGCGGAGCCCCGCCGTCGATCGCGCGAATCGCGTCGGCAGCGTGGCCCGACGGTATTGCCACCGGCTCGGCTGCCAAGCGGATCCAATCGAACGACTGATCGACAAGCGAGCGCGCCGGGCATTCGTCGCGAGGAATTCCAGCCCCGCCGAGCCACCGGAAGCCCTCCGCCTCGTCCGCGTCACGCACGCGTACGCGCAGACATTTCGCCGTACGCACGCGCGGACGTCCGCTTATTCGTTGCCGCGCGCGAAACCGATGATTTCTCCAGCGAGCGCCGAATTTTGCCGCCCCCCTCTCTCCCTTATTTATACAACGTGGTGAACGCGCGAAATTATCGTTGCGCAACGACGTTATCGTCGTGACTGCTGCTCCTATTATTATTATTAGTATTATTATTATTATTATGCGAAGGGCGCGCTGCGCAGCATCGCTGTAACATTGCAAGTTATGTTATTACTCCATTGTGCCAGCTCAAAGTGGCGTAAATTCGGCGTGACAGGGGCAATTTTTGTCCCGCGCGCCCGAAATTAAATTAGCCCGTTATTGCGAGTCCATTAAACGCCCGAAAAAGAGGCGCGTCGCCCGCGAGTAACGAGAAATGCTCTCGAGCCGCTATCAGCTCGTCGATATTCTCGGCACGGCGAGCCTCGACTATTGTCGAAAATGCTCTCCGCCGAAAGCCCATCCGTCCGTCGCGCTGCAGGCCTACCTCTCCTCCTCGGCCGAGGTTCCTTGCGGCTGTGGCGCCTTGTGAAAATACACGGGGTTGCGTCAACAAATTGAAGAGCGAGCGAGAGAGAGGTTTGTTTGGCGAGTGGCTCCTTAATTGCGAGTGAAGCGAACGGGTCCGTTTTAGATGGCGCTATTTTCGGCTGCCGATCGGCGTGTTTATGGAACGTCTCTCGCCGAGCTCGCTGGCGCAACGGCTATTTCCGATGCTCGCGTCGGAAATCCACGCGCCGCCGGTTGGCAAGCGAGGAGCGAGCTAATAGCGCTCATTAGCGCCACGCCGCGAGACGCGCGGCGCTCAGTCGAAAGTCTCGACTCGTCGCGGATAACGCGTATCTCGTCGTTCGGCTTATTTTCTCGATAAACGCCATCGGCAGGGAGGCTGGTTCGCCTTTCCTTCCTCGCGACCAGCTGGCAAGCGTCTTTCGATGCAGCAGAGCCTCCCTCCTCCCCTCCCGCCGCCTTCTTCTTATAATCTCGCGCGGCGTTCCGTACGACAGTTGGAGGGAGTTTCGACGCTCGGTATCCCGTAAGAAAATTTGCCTCCCCGGCGGCTCGTTATTTTCCCCGAGCAGGTATTTGCAGCCTCGACGCGCAATTAAAGTTTTCGTGTAATTGGCGAGCTGCTTATTAGCCGGAGCCGGGGCCTCGAACAAAAGCTCATTGTACGCTGGAATACAATAAATCGCGGCTGGATATTAAAAAAAAAATAAAGGAAGCCTCACAGGCAGCTTGGCTGCATATCAAGCGCGCAGACGAGAAGAGAGCAAAGCGAGTCTAGTCGAGGAGCGGATCGGGAGTCGCTCGATCGCGCAGACGGAAGGACGGGGGAGAGCTTTGTATCGCGAGCGACGTCTTCGGCAAAAGCTGCATTGTGCGCGATATACACAGCGAGAGAGGGAGAGAGAGATACAAGTTGCCGGGGAGTGTACGCGATTATTTGCACTCTGCGCGCTGGCTCTTCGCCGGCTGTGCGTGCATTGCAAATAGACTCGGCGCTCTCTCCGTGAAAGTCATCGCCGTGCGAATCCGCTATCGATTGGAGCTATGCCTCCCTCGGTCTCTCCTCGAAGGACGCGGAAGCGTTGGCCCCGGTCGCGCGCAGAGGCGGCCTGGAGGCCGAAGAGTCCGGGCCGCCGCTCGCGCCCTCGAAACAATCGGCAGCAATCAGAAGCGCGGCGATGCTCTCGGCTTACCGCGACGCGCCCCTATACGCGCCTCCTGAAAAAGCCGCGCTTTTCCTCGGGCTAGACGAACAGCCGCCCCCGTGGAGCGAGACGTCAGCCGAGACGATGCGTCGACGCCTCGTCCCCTCCCGCGCCTCCCTCGCGACCCTTTGTCCGCGCGAATGTATCCGCAGCGATCGCGCGCATATGGAAAAAGGGCCCCGAGGCGCCGCTTGGCTCGCTCCTTCCGACGCGCCTCATTGTTTCGGCCCCGAGACTCACGCGTGAAAAACTTTTCCGGGGAGCGCGCGCGCGCTATTCCGCCGTCGGCCGACAGCGCGCGGCCGCCAAGGAGGGTGACACTCGCGCCTCGGCTGCTGTCGCGTCTGACTTATATCCGCGCTGGGGGCGGCTGCCCAAAAACGCTGAAAGACGCCGCCGAACGGGCTAACGAGCCAAGTTTCCTCGCGCGGCGCCGCCGCTTCCTCTTCCCGGTGCACGTTAATAAGAGGCGCGACCGCGGCGCGTTCTATTCTATTTATACGAAAGAAGATAAAAAAAATACGCGCCCGAAAATACTCGGACGTCGAGAGCGGGAAAGGGAAGATGCGGCGAACGCGCGTTCGCGAGAGCCGCGATGAAATAAGGCGTAGTACGCGCGCGCCCGTGCGATCCTCGCTGAATCGCCGGAAGCGCGTCGCACGTCGATGTGCGCTCGCACGGCTGTCGAGCGCGCTGCCCGATGTCGTTCGTCGCGCTCGCTCGCTCTTCCGAGCCTCGGGTCCCGCGCCTCGAAAACCGAACGTCGAGCTTGTATGCCTCGTGACCGCAACGGCGCGCACAAAAAGCGACGACGCCGAGCGTGGCCTCTTTCGAGTTGCGCCGGCTGTCTGGCGCGCGACACAACTGATCGTGGCGAGAATTGGATCGCCGACGTGCAGCGATCGACTGCCCGGGAATAGAGAATCGTTTGGGTTTGAAGGGCCTAGGTACCAAAGTTGGCGAGCCGGCGTCGGCAACAGCCGGCTAGTTTTCCCTGGCTGGCTCACTTAACCAAACAGTTTAATTGAAATAGCCGGCACTCCAAGTTGGCGTTGCCTCTTTCGCCGTGCGCCTTGCCAAACTTTCCTTCCTTCCGGCTCCGTCAAAGAGCCGAGGCTTCACCCTCGACTTGCGCCCTCTAATTGATACGTTTGACTTTCCATACGAATCGCCAGGACTAATTAAGTTGATTTTTGTTCTTTTTTTGTTTTCCGGAAATCGCGTGCCGAATCAAACTAAAGTGGGTACGTGGTATCTGTGATTGCAGGCGGAGGAACTGAACACGATAGTCGGCAATGCCTTTCGTATGGCGTACGTGGCACAGCTGCAACGCCAGCCGATCCTCCACGATGTAATTAGCTCCAAGTCCACAGCGCACTTCCGCAAGGACAAGCAGCAGCAGCAGCAGCAGCAGCAGCAGCAGCAGCAGGCACAGCAGCAGCAGCAGCACCAGGACAACAACCGCAGCGTTTGGGTCAGTAACCATATCGATTTCCCGCCAGTTCCTTTGCAATTTCCCTTGCCTTCTATCTCTCTCTAGCAGCTCGCTTTATCCGCACAAGCTGACGCGAGGCGCATCGTCTGCTATTGTCGAACCTATATAAATTCCAACTCGTCGCGGCGAAAAGGATGTAACGGACGCTCGCTCGTACGCAGCGACGAGTGTGCAAGCCGAACCAACAAAAACACATAACTGACGCCGCCGATTCGCCGGCATCGTCGCAAGCTCGATTGGCGTGCACGCGATACACGTATAAAACTTGGACACATCGAAGCCGCCGCGGCCGCCGCTGCTGCGACAAAGCCGTGCATGCAAAGAGGCCGGAAAAAGTTGGCGCGACGCACGTTGCATAAGTCCGCCGCCGCTGCTTCTTGGCATTCGCCGAGCACGATTCTCACCGTCTCATGCCCGCGGTGCCTTTCTCCCTTGGGCGACAACTTCGAGAACTAATTATAGATGCAGCCGCGCGCGAAAAGACTCGCCAAGTTCGAAAAGCTCGCGAGGGCTTATTGCCAAAGATACGGTAGTTGAGCGAGCGACGACGCGAGGGGGAGGGGGTGTGAACGACAGCGCGCGCCTGTTTTCGCTGCTCGTCGGCGCTTTCGCGGCGGAAGGAAGCCGTCGATTTTTCCCCTTTCGACGCGGGCCGACTCGAGAAAGCGCGACCTGCGACGCCAGTTGAACGGACGCGTCCGTCGGTCGTGTATTGGCTCGATCGGTGGTAGACGCGCGCGCCAACGAACGGACGTCCGCGCGCGCTTCCATCGGCGCCTCGAGACGAGAAGACAAAGCGCGCCCGCGACGTCCTTCCTGCGCCTCTCGCTTTCCGCGTCCCTCGGCCTTCCCTCCCTTGGCGTCCGTCCTTCTCGCCGCGAGCGGCGCGTCACAGCGCGTAATTTATGCGCGCAAAGAGAGGCGCGTTGCGTTCTTTTCACGGGTTTCTCTCTCGCCGTCCGCCTGCCGCGTGAACAACGGCACACCGCTCGGCGTCTTTCCGGCTGTTTGCCTCGCGAGTCGCGTGGCTGCTTTCAGCCAAGAGCGTGATTAGGGAATAGCCGTGGCGCGCTCACGAGATCGATCGTGCAGGTCAACGAAAAAGTAGGCGGATTGAAAGGAACTCGATGGGGGAGGGGGGGGGCTGCTGGGACGATGGCGGTCGCCGATGTCGAGATATAGAGAGAGATCACAAATCTTACAAGCCCTTTTAGTGAGAGTATCTGTCTGGTATACATTAATAGACACGCCACAGCTCCGCGGTCATGCGTCTTCTTCCTGTATCGTTTACAGTTGTCTTGATGGATGTTATTTGAGGAAGAAGCGCTCGCGCCTCTTTTTTCTTGTTTCGTGGATTGACACGTCTTCCGGCGAGGAATGTGACTCCGTGCGTAACGGGCGCCTGGCATTATTTATCGACTGCGCACTCGGAGCGCTTAATGTTCAGAAGACGAATTGTTCAGAGACAAAGAGAAGGCGACTAACTCGAGCCGCTTTTCTGCCGCTTTTCTTCGCAGAGCAAATCGCTGAGCGACGCAGCGAACAACAATAACAACAACAATAACAATACCAACAACAACAACAACAACAGCAGCAGCGGCGGTGGCGGCGGCGGCGGCGGTGACAACAGCGTTCTGACGGTGGGCAGCAAGAGCAACGCGACTAGCAGTAGCGTGAGCAGCAGGTCGAACGCGACGACGACCGGCAGCAGCAGCAGCAACAGTAACAGCGGCGACGACGACGAGCGCAGCAGCGCTGCCAGTCCCACCGGTGACATGAATCTCAGCGCCAGTTGCTCGCCCACGCTTCGGCTGTCCAGCGTCAAGGTAAATCGATCAAACCCAAAACCCAACCTCCCCCGTCCATTGTGGCCCCGCGCACGCTTCAGCGCTAATTGGAGTGCGATTCTCTCGCCGTAGTGTTGCGTTACAGCCGTTCCTTCCTTTTGTATGCCCTTTTCCGCCCTTCGGAAAATTACAAAGTATCGCGTGAGCGGCGCCACAATGGGTCCTCGCTTGCTCCCCGTCCACGTGGTATTTGCTTTATAATCGAGCCTGAATGCGCCGCTCTCGCGTTTCTCGCGCGCCTGGCTTTTGTCTCGCGCTCTCACAGCAGTGTAGAAGTTGCTGGAGAAGCGATACGAAATTGCGCGCAACTGTATTAAATAAGAATCGTTTGTACAGACACCGAACTCGATACCGGGACTGCGGCCGTCGCACAACTTTAGCCCGCTCGACGGATGCAACAACGCTGCCCAGCAGCAGCAGCAGCAGCAGCAGCAGCAACAGTCGCAGCCGCAGTCGCAGCAGTCGCAGAAGAGCTGCTCGCAGCAAAGCACACCCAGCAGCGACGAGAGCAACTCGCCCACGGAGCTCAACTCGTACAAACGGCTGGCCGACAAGCCGCCGCTCATCAAGCGACTCGCCATGGGACTCACCGGTAAGCCTTCGCCCGCTGCTCGAGCGCCACGTCGACGACTCTCGGCTAATCTCTGCTGGCCACGCGCATAGGTGGCCGCGACGTGCTGGGCTTGAACGTGGCCGGCGAGGACGACAGCTGCCCGCTGGTGAGCGGCGGCAGCACGCCCCTCTCGCCGACGACGACGAGGCCGTACTCGGGCGGATATATCAACGAGGCGATCATCGATTCCGAGCCGACTATCGCGTCTACCACCAGCGCCATCACCACCACCACCACCACCACGACCACCACCACGAGGTCGGCGCACTACGGCAAACTACTGCCAGCCACCGAGCACCTCGACAACACCATCAATTCGTCGATCAACGCCAAGAATTTCAATGTCGAGAACAATAGGTTGGTTCGGCGGCGGCGCGATCGACCACGGACAGTACGGGCTGACGCTTATCTACTTGCAGGTTGGCGCAAAGCTCCACGGAGGCGGATTTCAAGACGAAGCGACGGTCGCAGCTGAGCACGTCGAGCAGCTCGGCAGCGCCAGCTGACGGGAGCACCTTGGGCTCGACACCCACGCCGCCGCCGCTGCCGGAACGACACGACAGCCTCAGCTTTCGCAACGAGGAGGCGGAACTCAGGCGGGCTCCCTGGTTCCAAGCTGGCATTCCTAGGTGCGCGACGGGCAAATTACAATCTCGCGCGATTAATCCTGGACGGTGTTTCGTCGCGCAAAACTTGCGATGATAAACTCGCGCGCGCTGCTTTGCGCGAGAAAGTAGTTAAGGAAGTTGCGCGGGGGCGGGCAAAGAAGTTGAGCGCGAGCCGAGTCGCCGAGGCGGGGCTCCATAAAAACTCATAAAACTTTCGAAAGCTTCGCCGGGTAGATAGATCGGGGCTCGCTCGCGCGCGGCTCTCGATTGATGCGCGCACACGGACCGCTAATGACGCACCTTCCTCTTCACAGAGAGATCACGCTGGAGGTGTTGAGCCAAGAGCCCGAGGGCGCGTTCATGGTGCGCGAGAGCACGAGCAAACCCGGCTGCTATGCGCTGTCGCTGCGAGTGCCCCGCGACTTTCAGCCGAGCGGCATTGCTCACTACCTCATCATGCGCATCGCCAAAGGATACAAGATCAAGGTACGTTGCGCGTTCCCCTGCTCCCCCCGTACGAAAGCTGCATCAGTCCGATAACCGAGTACTTTCTCTCTCTCTCTCTCACTCTGTTATTCTCTCTCTTGCTCGTCGTCTGCTGACGCGCGCGTGCGTGTCCATGTGTCGGCCTTCCCTTTGTCGTCGCGGATTAAGGTCGCCTAGTTACGGATTCGCTTTTTCCTGTTTTCATAAAGGAGCCTAAGAAAGACCCATTTCGCTGCTGCGGATTTTAGCCGCTACGGCTTTTTACTGCTGGCGAAAAGAGAGAGAGAGAGAGAGTGAAGTATGCATTTTTTCGGTCACTTTGAAGCTTTTGACCTTTTTTTCCCGTTTTTAACGAAAGACGTCTCGAAAATTTTCCATTCCTCTCTCCTTCTCTCTGAGATTTTTCGATTTTTCGCGAGATGAAACATTTTTACATGGAAAAAAAAGCTCTTTCGTCAAATGAAAAGGTATATTCCGTGCATCAATATAATGAAAGAGAAGTACATTCGACAGAGTAGCGCGAACAGTCAAACGCACAAAAAATACGAGCGCACTTTCCATTGTAAATTTTTCACATTTCCCAGCGCAAATGAGAGCTTGTCAAGCTAATCGAAAATTTGCCATTAAAATGTCGCCTCGAGCGGGTAGCAAAAAAAATTAAATGAAACAAAGTAAAAAATGAAGAAAAAAAAATGGAAAAGAAGAGGAGAGCGAAGATTTCGCCGCGGAACAAAATCGTGACGCGTGACGTAAAAAGCACGAGCGAACGAGCGCGCGTCGTAAAGTGGAGCGACACAAGGTAGAAAAATTCATTACAGATTTCAATAAAGCCGTCTCTCGAGAGCACGGGCGCCCCATAAATATGAGAAACTTTCATCTTGGGCGATTAAACGCAAAATAGCTGTAGGTGTATCCGTCAAAAGCCCTCGTTTTTTCTCGCTGCCGAGCGCGAAAAATCATTTCTAATAAGCTCCTCTCACGGGAAAACTTGCGCACATTTTCAATTTGTTTACCCGGCCTCGTCTCTTAAATTGCTTTCACGAGATTCCCGCGCGCGCGCGGCTCGCCTGCTCGGAGGATTAGCTATCTCGGGCAACGAGAGCAGTAGCTCGTCTGAAAGGGCGTTCCGGATTTTCGCGCGCCTCTTCTCGCTTGGCGCACTTGATGATTTGGACGCGCGTCGACGGCGCAATGCCGCCGATCAGTTATATTTCGCTGGCCGCGCGCTCGGGATTACGCCGCCGCCAGCGGGCTAGCATTTACGAGTACAGCCCTGTAATAAGGATTCGCGGGCGATTTAGTTTTAATGGGCGCTCGTTTCGGCCGAGCGATTTATTTTTAATTGGCCGCGACCCGAGCCGCGGAGAGCCAGTTGACTCGCGCGATAACCACGAGTGAGATAGCGCGACGCTTCGCTTCCACAGTCTTAATTTCGAATCTCTGTGAAAAGCTGCCCTCCCGCCCCACCTACATCTACTACGCTTTTTTGGTTTTTTAATCGCGATCCGTTGCCCGCTCGTTTGTCAAGCCCGGTGTCGTCTGCTGACTTGACGCGGACCAACGAAAATCAAGCGACGTCTTGTTTACTTTCCAAAGTTAACGGTCGATTTTGTCGTTGCAGGGCTTCACAAAGGAGTTTACAACGCTGACGTCGCTGATAACGCACCACTCGGTGATGCCGGAGCTGCTGCCATGTCCTCTGTCGCTGAGCCGCTACAATCCCAGCTTCGTCAAGGCAGACTCGAGCAAGGACTTTGCCGACATCGACTCCGACCCGGACTACAATACCCTAGCAGACTTTCGCAAAATGATGGCCGACTTGAATGTCTAAATGAAAAGCGATTTAATCGCGCTCGGATAAGGCTGCAGGCGTCGCAAGTCAGTTGCCAGCAGTCTAAGCGAACCATCGTAGGCTCTTCGCAATGTAGCTTATTCATATAGCTGGTGTCGACAACCGCCTGCTGCATGAGCGCCCTTTCGTTCCCCCATTGTTGTTCTTTTTCCCTTGCTGCCTGGGAGTCCGAGAAAATGTCTATTCAACCGTTCGCATCCTATCAAACATCTCTCTGCCGTTGAAGGATAATTTTTGCTCTTACTTCCGGGCTGAAGCCCAGAAAGGTTGGCGTAGGAGAATTCGTTACCGTTGAGCAGACTATTGACGACGTCCGACTACTGTTTTTACGTTGTCCCGATGAATATGATTGTTATTTTTCGATCATTCAAGACATTGTTCAAGATTTGTTTTCTGTTCGTGTTATCGTCGAGTGGCGTCGTTTGACACTCGACCCAATTTCCGCATCATATTCAAATTTAACGAACATGTCAACGTCAGTCATTGGTGTAGGAAACGAACCAACAAAAACAAATTGTCACGTATCGATAAGGTACGGCTAACTAAACAAACAAAAAAGATGCAAGGTGTGTTGATATTGTATATAAATTATGATAACTGTTATGCGATGTCGATTGTATTTAATTAAGAGTGAGAGAACTGAAAAACTAAAAATAGCAGGTTGGCAACTCTTGACGATTATCGCTCGAGTAACCTAGTCTTGTACAGAAGTCGTGCGCTTAGATTATATTTGAATCGGGCGGCAAGTATGAAAATCCAGCCAAGTTGCTACTACTTTTGGTATTCGGCTGATATTCCTATATAAATTCATATGTTGTCCATTCGCTTACCTGAAAACAGTAGAACTTCTGGCTTCTCAGACGCGCCCGACAACAAAAATTACGTTAGACAAAAACGAAGAGAGCAAAAAAAATATCATAAATAATATCCATAGATACACGCAGTTTAAGCTTGAACGTGACAACAAATTACATGTATTATCCGAGGTCTCAAAATCCTTAGCCACTGCAGCTATGCCGAAAAGAAAAATGCTTAGGCCAAAGCGTTTGAGAGTCACTATTAACTTATCCGTTAACTTTTGCATCATTTAAAAATATTAAATTTTTGATTCACCAACTATTTGAATAAATTTAGTTCATGAAAATCCAATAATTTAATAAAACAAACATTTTATTTGGCTGACTCAAGTCACAGAACACTGTCCAGTGCACTGCCAATTTTTTTTACTTTTATACTATAAGACTCGCTAAAACTAGAAATTACTAATGTTAAAACTGACGAAATAGGATACCAGTGTGTTCAGTAGTGCTGAGGTAGAGACCCCGCTAAAAACATAAATAGCAGTTATACAAAAAAATAAAAAAGCATTATACCACTATCTTCTTGTACTAAAATGTTTGCAGTACTTTGATGATAAATGAAAATCGATATAACACAGAATTCGCAGATCTACGCTAAACTGGATATTGATTGCTGCTTCAGATTTGTAACATTCTAAAAAATCATTATACTGATGCGTCGTATAATTTCAATAATAAAATTATTTATTAAATAACGCTGCTCTGTACTCTATTTCCTTACTTCCAAATCCCGTGATATAGAAACTACTAAATAGATCAATTTGATTATCAAAGATTTTATTATATTTATAATTTACAAATAACCATGACGACTATAAATGGAAAAATATTGTTACTCCTCCGAAATGACGTGCCTCTTCCTCTCGGCAACGAAAGGCTCGGCCCCTTTCTTCGAATGTATACGTCGGTTGGATTCCCTGAAAATAAATACATATTTGTAGCAAAGAAATTTACCAAAATTATAGTGGCAATTAGATAAGTCGTTACGTACTTTCGTTTTATCTTCTCGCGTGCAGTACGTAGTTCGCTCTGCGCGTTGTAAACATGCTTTGGAACTTGTCTGTGTCGTGCAATACGTCGAACTTGCGGATGACTTGCGAATTTCTCTTTCAGTGCTTCACTATAGTTCAGTGCAGCTCGTTCTCGTGGTTTCAACTAAAAAGGATAAAACCGAAGAGAATTACTTTACTTCTCTGGAATTTCGTTCACAAGATAGATAACAAGTTACACCTACAACTCCTAATTTTTCTGATGCTCTTGCTTTCCAAACTCGAATGTTCATTTCGTCACTACCACTTATTATATATTTATTGTCGAGTGACCATGCAACACACGTTAATCTTTGCATACGTTTTGTATGGTAAATTTCTTTGGAGTGACCTTTGTTAACTTCAAACAGTCGAATGGTTTTGTCATAACTTCCAGCTACAAATTCTTTACCAGTTGGACTGTAGTCTACGTCGATTACAGCCTCTGTGTGGTCCATGTGAACATTAACCGGAGTCTTCAATTGACGAGTATCAAACGTATATAAGCTATAAAAATAAAATTTAGTTAATATTTATAATAAAAATTATATATTAATTCATTAAATTGAATAAAAAACAATAATTACTTGTAATCTTCATTGGCACAAGTGAATATAAATGCTTCCATAGGATTCCAAGATAATTTGTTACTTCTTAACTTCATTTTTACTCTTCTCAAAGGTCCAACTCCTCTTGTGTCATAAAGAATAATACTTCTATCACTGGCACAAGAAGCTAGTAAATTTGATTGTACAGGATTGAATTTAATGTCATGTAAACTATCAACACCCCATTTGTAAGTTTTTATAGGTGCACTAGTAGCCTCATCCCAAATTTCGCACACTTCTCCACATGTGGCAAACATTGGAGCAAGCCGATGATGTGTTATTCCTGTAACTATAGTCTGAGAAAACCAATTCACTTGTCAAACATTAATATATTATTTTATTACTATAGTGCAATGACATAATCAGTAAATGCAGTATTACCTTGCTAATTATCGTTTTGATGGGTAAATCTTCTTCATCCTCATCATCTGGCTTTTCTGATTTCCATGTTTTTATTGTTTTATCATCACCAATAGTAATAAAATGCTCACCATCAGGTGAATACGCAATTCCCCTGACATTTCCATCATGAGCCAGAATTGAACGTTCACATGTCCTCTGTGGCAAATTCCATACTTTCACATGTCCGTCAAAGGCACCACTCAACAGTATTTGCAGTTTTGTTGGATGTTTGCTGAGACAAGTAACAGAATCTTTGTGTCCCTCTAAGTTGCCAATGAATGGTTTTGCAAATACTCTGTCTAACTTTACAGCATTTAGAGCACGTGTATATTCCCGGGGAGCTTCGAATGGATGCAGCACAGGATCGTAGTTTCTGGGGACTAATAAAATTAACTTTAATTTTGTAAAATAGAATTCCGATGGCACGAAAATATATTAGTGACGCTACCGTTGTAATTTACCATAAAACAAAGTAGTGATACCATTGAAAATTTCAGTTTTAACTTTACGAAGGAATTTAAGGTTAGACGAGGACAAAGCTATAATTTACCTTTATAAATGTCTCGCTTAGTTTCTCGTAAATATTCATCTGGATTACGCGATAACACCTTCACCTTCATGATGATGGTAAAATAATTATTGATCAACTGTTTGGTAAATAATTTTAATCATTCTGGCAACACGTGAGTGTTTATTTACGTATCTCTCCTTTTAATAGTTCACAGTGTTCACTGTTCATACTTCACAGTTGATAGTTGGCTATCACCAGGTCTTGAAAGTTAGCATCCAGGATCAGCTTTTTTTTAGAAAATTGATAAATAAATTATGTATTAGATAGTTGATGGAATAAAAAACAATTTTTATCGTCATTCGTTAGTTCGTCTATAATTATTCGTTTAAAATAAATAAAATGAGTCTTGGATGCTGAGCCCAATTAAATCTGGCTAAATAATTATAAAAATCAGGTCTAAAAAATGTAGTTATAAGTCAATCGTTAGTTCTTCTCGTGAACTAATGGCACCTAGAAAAAATCTGCCGGTTCAGCAATTTTTTCGTTAGCAAACAATAATAAACCGTTATGTTTATAAATGAAAGCTTACGGACACTAGCGCCATTTTAATTGGGCCAGACTGTTATTTATAATTCGTTAAATAATTACTCTACAGGACGATTTTCTTCTGGAGCCCGTTAGTTCATGAGATGAACTAACGATTAACTTATAAATATATTTTTTAGACCCGGTTTTTATAATTATTTGCCCGATTCAATCTTGGGTGCTGAGCCTAGCACTAAATACTCATTTTATTTATTATAAGCGAAAAAGTGTAGACGAACGTACAAATGACAATAACAAAAGTTATGTTTTATTCGATGAACTATCTAATGGCATAATTTATTTATCAATTTTCTAAAAAAGTTGATCTTGGATGCTAACTATTAAAGCCTCTAATTGAACATTGACATTCGCTGCGCTATTATTAGGTATTAGTGGCTCCATCTCAATGCAACCCTGCGAGACACGTACTGAACATTTTGGTTATCGACGGTGTATTAGTAGCGCGTGGGTACCAAATTGCGGCTTTTTGCTTGAAGATAAGTAAATAAATTTTATTCTAACATGACGATGCATTTATAAAGGCTAATCTCATAGCAATATCGCTAGGGAATGCTCTGGACTAATTTCTGTAGGGTGTGTCTGGTGACGCGTTGACCATAAGACCTATATTCAGCAGAAGCTCGAAAATATGGGGATTTCTATTTGACACAAAGAATAATTGTCGAATGCTTCGTCAACATCACTGTCGTTTGTTGCATTGATGTTACTATAAACAAAATAAGGAATCCCTAAAATACATTTATAATCTCTATTTTATGAAATGCCACGATGGAAAAGCATTTGATTAGTATTGTCAAGTACTCGCTGAAAATAAGAGATGTCGACTAAAGTCGACTCGTCGCGAAAAATGCATAAACGTGATATTGTTGTTTTCAGGAAGGCGTTCCAGTCAGATCCACGAGTGACCGAGTTTCACGAGCTTATATCACACTTATTTCCGAACGAATAATTAGCCGTTAGTCATACGATATGCATTTGTCATGCGTTATCACCGAGCCTCGCGGCCCTTGTCAGCGTCAAATATAATTATCGATTGTGACGGGCATAGGCAATTTTGTTGATCGCATTTTATTATTCCCTATTATCTATTTATAATCTTGTCGACATGATTGGTTGCGTCATACGCTGAGCAAAGGCATGCGCAGCACGTTAGAATTGATCGATGATTACCGATAATCTTTCCGAAGCCAATTTATTAATGATCATTGGCGGAGTCGGAGCACTAGCATCTTCGTATACTTTCGTCGAACGTCCCTCGCGACACTTCCGGCCGGTAGTGAATTTTAATCGACGGGGCACGATTGCACGCGATCGGAAGAATTCCGCATCTGGAAGGCCAGTTCCGCAGCGATTTTCCGAGCAACGCGATCGGGAGAGACGGAGTTGCGGCTGGACGTCGTAACAGCGCCGCCGCAACGCCCCTACCGACGAGGCCCACCTTTTTGTGCATCGCGACAGCACCGATTCGATCCCCCCATCGTCGCTGCACACGACGCCCGAATCGTCTCGGGAATGCGCTCGCGGCACCCCTCGCGCGCCGATCGTTCGCAGGCGCGGCGGCAGCGGCACCGAAAACGAGAGCTGCCGCCCTGCGGCCGGTTCGTCACGCCAAGGCGAGCCTTTCCAGGAAGGAGTTGAAACGCGTCGTGTGCGTACGCGCGGCAGACATGCGGAGAAAGACAGAAAAAGAAAAAACGGCATCGCCGATAAGATAAGGCCGCGAGCTTTTTAACCGAATCCACGCAAGGTGCTCGCATCATTAGTCGGCCGACGCTTACTGCAGTAACGCTCGCGTATCTTCTTCACGATTCCCCTCAGCGGCTCCACTTCGCGGAAAATGCCAGGTAAGAAGCCCCTCCACGCAAACGCGTCTCTTTATCGTTGCTCGCGCGCTCGTCCGATAGAATTTCGATGACGTGTCCATCCGTCGAATTGGCTTTTTGTCTTGACACGATTGGTTTGTTTCACCTATAAAGTAGCCAAGATCAGTGCCATGCGACCGCTTCGTAAACGCGCCGTTTGTTTGCCATTTTTCATTTGTATTTTCATTCCGGCCGGCTCGGATCTGTATCGGTGAAATTTGGAAGCGAACGGCCCCGCTGGCAGTCTGCCGATAAGACAAAAGCGCGAGCACTCGAAGTATCGCCAATAGGCAATTGGCGAGCGGACGGTCGCGCAAGGTCGGATCGAGGAGTCAGCCCGCGTCTAACTGGCACTGTTTTCTCCTTCCCGAACAGCTTGAGAGCGCTGCGCGGCCTCGACGTGCGCCCAATCCGAAAGTAATAATGGGATCGTGTTGCTCGGCGGACGACACTGGTGTCGTGCACCACCAGCCGGATTATCGGCCGCCGCCGGCGCCGCAAAACACGTACCCGCCGCCGAACCCCTATCCGCAGCCCGATCCGCAGCCCGATCCGATCCCGTCACCGCAAAGCTTATACCCGCCGCCGATCTCGAGCCCGGGACTAATCCATCCGCCTGCATCTTCCGACGACACAGGATACAAGTGGGTGCACATGTCGGCCGGCATGCCGGTGCCCGAGTCCGCCGTCGTCGGCGGCATGGACATCGACGGCGCCACCATCTACGTGGGCCGCGCTCTCCACGACGGCGACATGCTGCCCGCCAAGGTCATCCCCGAGAAGAACGTCGCCTACGTGTGCCACGGCGGCCACGAGATCGCCAAGCACGTCTTCGAGGTCAGTCCCGTCGCGCCCGGCACCTGTGCAAACTCTCGGTCTCCGGATACACTCGCGTCGTCGTCGCGCGAGCGAACGCTCGTCGGCTGCGCTCGTCCGTGGTCGAAGGACAGCCGATCTTTGTTTGATGTTCGGCGATAAGAGGCCGCCGCGATAACGCTTATTTTTACCTCTTTGGCCGGAGCGATTAGATTAATGGCCGGATTTTTTTCTCTCTCGGTAGCTTGCGGTTCTTCTTCTTCTTTGTCGCCTTGTTCGAAAACTTACCGCCACCGCGTTTATATCGTTACGTTTATACGTTCGTATCTTTGATCCGATCGGCGTTTACCGTCGTCGTCGCATGCGATTTGGAGGCATTTCAGAACGCCAGATACAATCAAGATCGAGCTCGAGAAGCTTGATCCCCTTACGCAACTCGAGAGCCCGACTGTCGCGATCGACTGACGCGCTCGACACTTTGCGCAGGTGCTCACCAAAAGCGACTTCCACTGGGTGTTCGCCAGCAGCGGTCACATCCCTCCTAACGCTGTGATCGCCGGACAAACCCAGGACGGCGAACCTCTGTACGTTGGACGCGCCATGCACGAGGGATCCCAAACCATCGGCAAGGTACGTTCCGCTTGAACGTTTTCAAAAGCTGCGTTTCATCGGGTCTCGCGATGAAGGCAAAGAAGGAGCGCGCAGGGCAGCGTCCCGCAAGCTCGAGGATGCGCTGGCAGAGAGATGCGACGGAGGATGACGCTGTGATTATTCTCGTTACAGGTGCAGCAGAGCCACGGCTGCCTCTACATTCCCTTCGACGGCCAGGAGATATCTCACCGAGATTACGAAGTACTCGTCATGCACTGATCGCCGTCGTCGTCGATTCGCCTCCTGCATTTCATCGTCGACAGCGGACTATCCATTCCTCTTTTTGTCCCTCTCTCGCGCCTCCCGACGCCAACGCTCTGCCTAAATTGTCGTTTGCCAAGACTTTCTTTCATTAAACGATTTTACATATAAATCGCGCGCAGTTTAATTCTCACTTTTCCTCGTCTTAGATGTATACACAATGCCCGCCGTGGCGTGTTTACGTAAGTTATTACTTCACGACTTGAAGAACCGTCTGCCTTTCTCGCGGAACGCAATTATCCGTAACACGTATACGAAATTTGAAATCATTATAAAGTGGTTGCATTCCTGGAATGTTCGTTATTTAAATGATCCACCCGAAGAACGTGAAAAAAAGTCAAAGTGCTACGGCTTCAGGAAGTCATTATCATGATTGCCGCGAATTTCGTTAATGTATAGATCATTACATGACGTTTTGATAGCGAAACGTGTAGTACGTCTTGGATCATTCACGCGCGTATAATCAAGTATCGCATTAATTTCACGTCTATTTCTATCGCGTCGCGATCAATGTACGAATATATTTTTGACTTCCCGTCGCGCGCGAGTGCTAATTCATGACAATTATAACTCTGGCCGATGGCGAAAGGGATGCCTAACGATCATTTTCCATTTTTATTTCCCAAAATAAGCAATCTTACGTCAGCATTACACCATTAATTTCATATGGCGCGATGACAATTGCAAATGATAAAGTATGTCATGGTTGTGCGATTTCGCGTAATGCCAATCATCCACCCGCTGAACTTTAACAGGACAAACAAAGACATTAATATCCCGAGAGACACAATGTTTACGCCCGTGAAATTATAGGCTGAGAGGCGTGCTATTAAAAGTTTGCCTGAAAAAGCAAGAACGACAACGAATGTCCTTCTGTCTCTTTTGTTTCTGAGCCATTTACATAAAAATGTGGAAAACAATGTGTCGAGATTTATTTGCGAATCTATAAAAACCTGAACCGCGTCTGTAAAAAGCGACAGTTTGCGTGCGAGCGAGGAAAACAGAATTTCAGAGTGCAGGCAAGAAGAGAGGAAACGTTGGTGTGGCGCGTGCGCGCGCTTTTACTTGCGCACCGCGACCCGCAAAAATGTCGCGCGCCAGCGAGAAAGCCCCCCCGCCCTGGAGGCAGGCGCAGCCCACGCGGCCGCCGAAAAAAAGGCTCGCGGGAGGGAGCGCAAAAAGCGGCAAACCCGTTTGCCACGGCGCGACGAGAGAGCTTTCACAATTTCTCCGCGGCTCCGACATTAGCGCCGGCCGGCCGGCCGAGATGAGAAAAGTCCCGCCTCTGTCCCCGAAACAGCGAGGCGAGTTTCTCGCGCGCCTATCGCGCTAATCGGTCCCCGGCTAAAAGTGAAAGTGATTTCGTATCGAGGCAGTGCTTTTTTCTTTCTTTTTTCTTTCTTTTTTCTTTTTGTAGTGTTTTGCAGTCTCGGCTTATCCCAGACTAATCCTTTCCATCGTTCTCGACGTTCTCAAGGTCTGCGAGCATGTCGGCTTGATCGGCGCCACGGTGCGCTCGCTCAAACGGAATCGTTGAGCTTTTGGACATTGCGATCGTCACTCTTGCTTTCGTTTCGTCTTGAAGGATCGAGCTATTTATGATCCCTGAATGTAAATTAAACGCAGCCGAATACGAGTCGCAAATGTGCATTGCGAGCAAAGAATTGATTGTAAAATTGATTGATTATTGAATCGTCTGAAGTTGGATCGGAAAAACAGTGGCACGCAAATGCACGTAAGGCTGACTAATATTAATACGAACAGAAAAGTCATTGACGGATTTGTTCTTTCGGTAAAATGAAATGAAAATTTTACGCGCGGAAGAGACTCGACGGGACGTTGGCTTCCGATTGTCGACGTGTCGCTACGCTGAATCGCGCTGAATTATCGCCCGACAAATCTGCCGAAGAAAGCGCACGGATAGGGAACGTTCGCTGGCTCGCCGAGCGAGTCGATAAATCGCATCTCGCCGATAAACAGCGCGCAGCGGCGTTCTCGCAAATCTATCAGCCGCGAGCGAGCGCGTCGGCGATCGGGACAAGCCCGTACGCGGCGCGCGCGCGTCGAGAGTGAGAGCGCGGAAACGCCGCGAACGAGCTACCCACGCGCGCGCGCGCCGGCGACTAGCAATAACGCGGCGGCCGCGACGGAAAAGTGTGCTCGCGGCGAGTGAAATCGGCAAGGTCGCGCCTCGGCTTTGCGATTCGTCGCCCGCGCGACGCGGCCAAAGAGAGAGAAAAAAAGAAAAAAAAAAAGAAAACCAAAGCGCGCGCGTTTTCGCCGATGACATTGCCGTCGTCGTTCTGTCTTGTTTTATTCATTTGTTCATTTTTTTTGCCGCGTAACTGGCGTTTCGCAAACATCCTGTCCAAGCGTCGCGACTCGGAGCAAAAACCGATTCGGGGCCATCGCTGAGTCGTATACGCGCCTGTCCGCTGCTGCTCCCGGGGCAATAAAATCGTTATTGCCGCGCGTTAATATCCCTCGCGGCGAGAAAATTCATTTTCCTTGGCTCTTTTCTCTCTCTCTCTCTCTCTCTCTCGCTCATCCCGATCGCTTTCGATCGGCGCGATAAAGTCGGTATTCCTCGTCGGCTTTCTAAATAGCCGCGGCCACCGGCGAACGCGCGATTAATAGCGGAAACACAGGTCTGGCCTGGTTTCGCACCGAGACTTCCGATGTTTCCACCCGAGGCGCAATGGGACAAGCCCTCACCTCCTGAGTTCTCCGCTGCCGTCCGCTTGGCTTGTCCGACCGATCGACTAGGCTCCGACCTTTCCGAGCTTTCGCGCGCTGGAGTCGAGAATGCCTGGGCAATCGCATCGGGCGAGCGAGCGCGCGCGTGCACGAGAGAGAGAGAGAGAGAGAGAGAGAGAGCCGCGAGCATAATTCGCAATATCGCCGGCTGCTCCCCTCGCGCTCTGCTCTCTCAACAAGAGCAGAGCGCCGGCAGAAAAAGCCCTCCCTCTTTCCTGCGTGCGGCGGCGGCGGCGGCGGCAACAACAACAACAACATCCACCTCGCAAGAGCGAGCGGCAATCATAGAGTAGCCGAGTATAAAGAGAGAAGTGCATAGTGGGGTTCGAAACAGGTTTCCGCGCGCATTCTTTCCGACTCGCTCGCGCGCGAGCGTATGGAGTAGCGTGCGCGCGCGCGCGCGCGCTTCCTCGACTACTATACCTACTACTCTCTTTCTCGCTTTGTTGCGCTCGCAAACTCTTCTGCAGCATCCTTCTATGTATACGCGCGCGCGCGTGCACGGAGCTGACTGCGCGCGAGTATATATATTGCGCAGGTAGGCGGCTCTCGAAGAAATCGAAAGTACGCGCGCGCGCGCTCTCGAAAGCTGATTTTTTAGACGACCATCCAGCGCTGATAAACATAACGGCTCGACCTCCTGTCTCTCTCTCGCTCGCTATACACCTACCTATACATATGTATGTGTGTGTACGCGTATATGCGCAGCCGTCTTACTGGAGTATTCGATTTCGCGTGCTTGTTTGCCGCCAGTTTCTTCTTCGCCTCGTTTCCTTTCGTTCTTTTACTACTCATTGTCGCGATTAAAGAGACAAAATGATCCTTGATTTAGCTTGTATTTTCCCAGAAAGAGCCTCCGCTGTTGGCTCGTCGCTCGCGATGAAATTCATTTTGATGAAAAAGAAGCTCGTACGAAGGACCAACCAAAGTCTCACGAAAGCGATCGGTGGCTCGCCGTTTTCGCTGATATTAATTACGTGCAAGTCAGAACTGACGCGCGCTCGATCAAAGGGTACTAAATCTCAAATCTCAGCGGATCGCTTGTCTTTTTGTCGCTCGAAATCTTATACGAGATTGAAAAAAAAAAACGATAAAAGATAAAGCGAAACAATGCGACACGGACGAATGTTTGGAGATAGAACCATTGAAAAGCCTTCGCGCCTCTGTAAACTTGACCGTGATCTCCAAGGAAGGGGGAGTCTCGAAGGACAATGTCAACTAGCGAAAATTGGTCCTACGGCACAACGCGACAGATGCATCCATCACTTGCACAATCAACATGTCAATTACGAAAACAACGTGCGCGCGCGTCGCGAAGAGCGGCTCTCGCTAATGCAGTCTAATGACGCCTTACTTGCGAGGGCGTAGTTTAATGAAGTTCACAAGTTCATATATATACATTGTATATATGTATCCCGAGCTGGCAAGGTCGTCAAACTGCTCCCGGCGCGTTTGTCTTCCGCGCGCGCGAGACGGAAGCAATTTGGTCAGCTGCAGAAATTGCAGAGACGCGCTCTATTGAGAGATCGCGGGCGAGCTGACGACTCGGCGACGACGACGACGACGACGGTGACGTCGGCCCTGAAAGCGAATTATCGCCGGCAGCACTGTACTAGCCGCGGCACACTCGTAGCGCTGCTACCGCACGCCGAAGGGAGAGAGAGAGAGAGAGAGAGAGAGTCAAGGTCAGGGCCGAGCGCTCGCGACCGCTCGCGACCTTGAGAATCTCGTGACGTACAAGGTGCAAACGCGAAAAAAAGGCAGCGAAGAGGCGGCGGCCCCGAGGCGCGCGCGCGCGATCGATGCACTTTCTCTCGGATCGGGCTTTCGTTGCGCTATCGCCGGCGGACGAGCGCGACCGGCGCGTTGCGTAACGCCGGCTTATCGGCGCGCCGAAGCGGATCGGATTTTCAACGCGTTATTTCGGAGAGCGAGCGAGCGAGCGAGCGAGCGAGCGCTGTCTTGCGCTAATTGAAAACCTGATTACCGGCGGGCGCGATAAAAAAGGCTTTCCCTTCCGAGAATAATCTGCCGCGATCGGCGCATATTCAGGTCTAAAATAGGTATGGCGATCGCCGCGTAAATATGGCTTTAATATCATATCGAATGGTTGCACGCGAGAGCACCTGTCGCCGCCGTGCGCGCAGACAAAGAAGGCTAGAGAGAAAGAGCGATTGAATAACAGAGAGAGAGAGAGAGAGAGAGAGAGGAGGACGAGAAAAAAGTCTGTAACAGCAGCAGCGGCAGCGGCGGCACGGCAGCAGCGAAAGGGGTATGCACTATCGGTGCGTGTATGTGATTCCCCTCCTCCTCTGGATCCTACTGCAGCAGCAGCAGCAGCAGCAGCAGCAGCAGCAGGGTTGGCGTCTGTCTGTCTCTCTCTCTCTCTCTCTCTCTCTCTCTTCTCGCAACGGCAGCGGCAGCAGCAGCAGCAGCCCAAGCAGCAACAGTGAGGCAGCGCGCGGGCACACGAGCGGAGCCTGAACAGCTCGCTCCTCCTCGCGGCTCTTTCCCATTCGCTCGGCAGCATGACGACGGCGACGACGCCGCCGCGGGCCGGCTTCCGGGCGCGCTGCTCGCGCCTCTTCGACAACATCACGGTCGAGCCGATGGTCGCGTTCTACATAATGCCCAGCGTGCTGGCGTCGCTGGCCACGCAGAACCTCAACCTGGAGAAGGCCTGCAAGGTGAACCTGCAGTACGGCGAGTCGGTGTGCGCGTCGCTGGCCGCGCGCAACACCACGCACCTGGCGCTCGAGGAGACGGCGGTGCAGCAGCTGGTCGCCTCGATGCAGACCTGGAAGACGGCCCTGCAGTCGTTCTTCCCCTCGCTGCTGATCGTCTTCATGGGCGCCTGGAGCGACCGCACCGGGCTGCGCAAGCCCTGCATGATGCTGCCGATCGTCGGCGAGTTCCTCACCAGCCTGTCGCTCATCGCCTGCACCTACTGGTTCTACGAGCTGCCCATGGAGGCCGCCGGCGTGTTCGAGGCGCTCTGGCCGGCCCTCACGGGCGGCTGGTTCACCATGATCATGGGCACCTTCAGCTACATGGGCGACATCACCAGCGTGGAGTCGCGCACCGTACGCGTCGGCGTGGTCAACTCCTTCCTCAGCCTCGGCGTGCCCGTGGGCATGGCGCTCTCCGGCGTGCTCTACGTCAAGATCGGCTTCTACGGGGTCTTCGGCATCGCCGCCGGCTGCTACCTGTTCAGCTTCATGTACGGCCTGCTCGTCATCAGGGAGGCGCCGCGCGCCATCGAGCTGCGCAAGAACGCCAAGCTCGCCTCGGAGCTCAAGGGCCTCGGCTGGTGGTCCGAGCTCACCGACTTCTTCGCCCTCAGGCACGTGCGGGAGACCTTCCGGGTAGCCTTCAAGCAGGGCGCCAGAAATCGCAGGCAGCGCGTCATGGTACTCATGCTCATCGTCATGGTGCTCATCGGACCCATGTACGGTGAGTCTCTGTGCGCTCCTGCTCCCAGTGGCGGCCCCGTCGCGACCGATTTCGGACGCGCGCGACACTCGCCTCGGCACTCCTAACGGTAGTGACATTTGCGTGCCGAACCTCGCTCCGAAAGCTCGATGCGCCGTCGCCTCTTCGGCCACTGACGAGCGTTTCGCTGGGCGTTCGCACTCTCGGTTGGAATAACGAATCCTGTCGATCGCCGAGTTCGAGAACCCGACGCTGATAAAAAGCAGCCAGGCTCGCCTCGCGAAAAATTACGGAAGAACTCGCCGCAGCTGTCGTTTTCTGCATATCCAAGGCACTCGATCAATAATCGTCGATTACACAAGTCATCGAGTGTCGTTCAACTGTGCCGCGTGTATCCACGTACTTTCCTTTCCGCTCGAAAAAGTTGCGCGCGAGTTTTCGCTAACGCGTGTGTGCGTGATTACGAAAAACCGAGAGAGAGAGAGAGAGAGAGAGAGAGAAAGGAAATCGGGTCAATGCAACACGATGGCCAATTCGATTATCGGTTTTTGCAGCACGGGCCTTGCTCTTGAACCCCTCTTTTTTTTTCGGTAACGGCATTACACGAATGATTTGTTACTTTTATATTCGTGCGCCGTGGGCTTGGTGTTGTTTGGATTGCAGTATCGCGAAGCGCCAATTAAATTTGAAGAGCAATCGAAAGATATTAAAATTTGAATTGCGTTAAGTTTGTCCAACGGGCTCGATTCCGATCATCGGTTTCGAATACTTTCATTTTCCGCGCGATCAACCTTTTCGTTTGTTGGGAACTCGTCGCAACGTTTCGAACGAGACGATGCAGACGCTTTATAATTGTTATGGATGTTTTGCCCGCGTAACCGACAATTGGCGGATATCGGTCGCGCGAACGGGATAAGCGCACGGGCAGGTACTGTCACACCCGAAGGACGCTTCGGGACGACCGCTCGGTGGTGCCGGCGCGGCGCGCGCTGACGTCATAGGCGAGAGGCAACCGCGGACAAAAGCGCGCCAAGGGGTTTCGGAAAAATCGCCGAGAAATCGCGGATGTCGGCGCGGCGCGGTCCGCGTGCGTTTTTGGACCAGGGCGCCAGTGCACGGGGCGACCGGATAAACCGGTTTCACGTCGTGTCCGGCAACGCCGCTGCCTGCCGTGCGTGTCCGAAAAATATCCGCAACTTTTATAAATTCCTGGCGGTGGATACTTTGACTCGCCGCTGACTCGCTGGTCGTTCACTCGCCAAAACAGTCATGTGCGAAACGCTCGCTCGAGCTTTGGCGCGAGCTTGACGCCCATTTCGCGGGCAGAGAGAAAACAGGCAAAAGGGAGGAGAGAGAGAGAGAGAGAGAGAGAGAGAGAGAGAAATAGCGGTGTACCGTTAATCGCCTCGTCGTGAAACAAGTTTAAATAACGCGAAAATGCTGTTCTCTGTTTAAGTATGCGCCGCGAAGAGAGAGAGCGAGAGAGAGAGAGAGATGAGAGAGAGAGAGATGTCGGCTGTTTTAACGCCAGTCAAGTTTAAGTACTCGAAATTCTTGTGAACTTGGCTGCGCTCGGCGTTTCCACGTGGGTTTGGTGCGCGGAATCTCGGCGTATCGCACACGTTGATTACACACGCCAAATGCAAATCATTTTACGAGTCGTTTCTCAGTTTACGACGATACGTGTCCAGTGCGGTTATTTTGCAAACGTCGCGATTAGCAGTCGAGTACACGTGTAAAGTTTGTACAATTCAATCCCGCGCGGATCGCCTCGCGATAACTCGCTCCAGTATTTGAACGATGAGCGCGCGTCGTCGAAAATAAATTACTCCACCTTCGTCGATTCGATCAACATTTAATGTTGACCGACAGCTCAATGACGGCTCGAAATGTAAACATTGTCCGCCACCGGAAGCAGCGCAATTTAACTTATCTGTAGCGATTCGCCGACTTGGTTCTTTCTCAACGGCTGCATTTTCGGGAAGTTTATCGCTCGAAGATCCGTTGCAGAGCTTGCACGACGAGAGAAGAGAAAAATAACGCAATAAGACGCACACAAGCTCGTGGGCCGTACGATAGTCGCAGAAGCGGCGGTGGCGCTGGCGGTGGCGCGTCGGGAACAATCGTCGCGGTGCGGGTCAAGTGCGCTTCCTAGTTATGGCGGTGGGGCTGCGCGCGCGTGAGAGAGAGAGAGAGAGAGAGAGAGAGAGAGAGAGAGAGAGAGAGAGAGAGAGAGAGAGAGAGAGAGAGAGAGAGAGAGAGAGAGAGAGAGAGAAAAAAGTGAGTGCGTGCGCCAAATCGCCGTGGCATCTACTTTCTACGGCTAGCGAGCGCAGATATGCGATTCCGCTATAACGACCTTAGGCTCGCGCGCGAGTTAGTTGCCGTACGCCCCGAGTGTGCGTCCGACCAAGAACGCGCGCGCGCGAGAGAGAGAGAGAGAGAGAGAGATACAGACCGGAGGCGATGATGTAACGCGCTGCTCCTGCTTGTTTTGCACTCCGTGCGCGCGCGAGTTTTCTCTCGCTCTTCTCGCGGATAACGTCCACTGGTCTTTGTTACCTACGTCTTTGTCGGACATACGTTCAAGCCGCCTTTCTTATTCGCTTTTGAGAGTCCGCGACGTCGCGCGACTAGGACGCCGACGAGGAAAAACGCGACGTAGATAGCAACCGGACGAGCGGCAATGTGGACGCTCGGCAGATGCAGATCGCGACGACAAATGCGTAATATTATCCATTTGGAGTTCTGCGCGTGAAGTGAAGAGCCATCGAAGGCGGCTCGTTCGCGCGTGTGAAAAAATGCCTGGACCGAGGTACGAGCCTCCGTCGGCAGGAGAATCGACGACGTCGAGACGAGCAGTTGAATGCGGAGCTTGCGGAATTGGAAATGTAACCACGGCTTGTGGGACGCGCATCTCTCGCTCGCGGATCCACTTGCGTTGGCGGAAGTTGGCCGACTTGGCGTTAATAATCAGAGCGAGGTAGTCTTGCGTCCTTGCCACAAGTCCAACGCGTACACGCGTTTGCCTGTGTATTCTCGTAAAACTCGCGAATACCGAAAATTCGCTCGAAAACCCCTGCCGGATGTTTTCCGGCGATGACCAAGTGCATGTTCGTCGGTGTAACGTAAGGAGTACCGTTGATTTGATGTTTTTCACCATTGGAATGCCTTGCTTGAAAAAGCTCTCCCCCTCTTTCTCTCTAGAAATGTCTATCGTAAGAAAGATAATTGATAGCATAAATAACGGGTAAAAAGTAGGGAGGCAGCGAATGAGTTTCGAAATTGGCGCTGTAAATTTTCCAGCGATAACAATCGCGAATCCTTGAATTTACAGATGTCGATGCCGATTTTGTAATGGATTGTCGGCTCCTGCGGCCGGCAAATTACGTTTATTCGACGTGAATCTTCGCGCGGCTTGCGCAACGTATCGTTCGACGCTGACTTTTACGCGATACGCTAAAGATAATTCTGGTTTTCAGGCGAAATGTCGGTGATGTATTTGTTCTCGAGATATCGCTTCAATTGGAACGAGGTGCAATTCAGCTTCTTCTCCACGTACGGCATGGTAATTAATTTAGTAGGTAAGCATGAGCGAACACGTTGCGTGGAAAATTTGTTGTTCACCCGGCAAAGAATAATTATAATTTAATAAAGAAACCGCGCCCGCTCGCGCGATATCACTTACATTGTTTTTTTTTGTTTTTTTGTTTTTTTTTGTTTTTTTTTTCGTTGTTCTCCTTCCGCACGATCGTAAAAACTCGGAGGTCTTTCGACGAGCTTTTTACGCGCGCTCATTGCTGTACGATATTATCGACCTCCACGAAAAGTGATAATTAATTTCTATAATAATATTGTCGCGCGATCTTGAGGAGCGGGCGTGGCCGAAGTAGCTCTAATTGGAAAGCGTAACCGCTGAAACGATTGGATTTGAAATTTGAAATCGAGCGCACACCTTGCGCGGAAGGATTAAAAGGAAAGGTCGCTCGCGCCGTTTTGAAAATTCAATAAGATGTAAAATTGGCCATAACGCTCGGCTTTAATCACTGTTACGTAAAGATAATGCGCGTCTGCCTTTCTACCAGTCACGCTAAATTACCGTGCAGTTTTTGATGATCTTTTTCACTTCCTTGATCATTCCGCAGCGTCAATTTAATACTGTAATTTATTTTCATTTTATGCGACCTCTACGCCCGGCAAAAGCGCACTTGACGCTCAAATTACAACGCGCGTATATTTTTCGAGTGCCGCGATGTTCGTAAAAATAATAGCATGATATTTCGCGGAGAGATGATTGCTATGCTCTATTGTTCCGGGCGTCCGGATAATCTCGCGTCACTGCATTCTCTATCCGATTATGAAGCGGCGGCGGCGGCGGCGGCGGCGGCGGCGACGACAAATCACCCGCTAATCGGCTGGCATTCGTTGCGAGATCGAACGACCGAGTACCGAAAACTGGATAGACCGCGCTATGACTTTCTCTCAGCGATCGCCATCGAGAACGAGCGAATTGATCGCGATGCCGAGTTGAGGCCAAAGCCGAGCAATAAAAGAATGTGATTCCAAGGGACAATTCCTCAGGTACTTTGTTCGCCGTGGGAGTATTTAGCCATTTCTTCAAAATGGACGATGCCCTGCTCGGCGCCCTCAGCTGCCTTAGCAAAATACTCGCTAGTATCGTTTACGCCTTCGCCACGACCGACTGGATGATCTACCTGGGTAAGTCCACTTGATACTGCAAGTTTGTTCTCGAAAGAATTTCGTTCGGCGATAACCACGACGTATCTATTTGAATTTGGAATCGCTTGCGATATTTCGCTTGGACCGTTGAAAACAAACTCGATCAATGTTGGCAGTGAACAACGACGTCGAGAACTAGTTTGAACTGGCAATCGAGAGAGAGCAAGCGAAAAAAAAAAAAAATTGATTTGAAAATGAGCCCATTAGACGAAGGAGTGTAATGCATAAAACTCATTGGATGTATACCAGATTAAACCGAATTGGATGTATGTGTGTTTTCATGCAGCGCCACTGGTGGAGATAATAAACGGGACGTCGTTCATCGTGATGCGCTCGATAACCTCGAAGCTCGTTCCACCCGACGAGTTGGGTAAGTGTCAGGTGTATCTACCTTAATCGAACGGCACGTGCACGGCAATTGAGGCAAATCAGACTCCCTCGTCTCGTGAGTTTGATCTGAAAATAGAATGGCGCGAGAGCGACTGCAGCCTTGTTATCGAGTCGTGCAGTCGCCTATCATTGTAATTTTCCATCGAAGCTCCAACTTACGTCGACGACTTGTTGTTCTCCTCCACAGGCAAAGTCAATTCGCTGTTTGGTGTGTGCGAGGCTATCGTTCCTCTGGTCTACGGACCCATGTACAGTTCCATTTACGCAGCCACAGTCAACAATTTCCCCGGCACGTTCTTCCTCGTCGGCGGTGGGCTGATGATTCCCGGCGTTGTCGCCTTCTTGTAAGACTCACCTTTACCACGCGCGCGCGCACGCACACACACATTTCCTTGAAACAATAAATTCAATTGATGAGCCGCGCGTAACTGCGCGAACACGCGCTGGCCGTCGCAACGAGCGATTTATTATGATTGCCCGCACCGCGGATAACTCGCGTTATCCTTGTTCCAAAAGAGACGAAATGCGTAATAGTCAATCAAAGCTCGGATTATTCAACGGAACAGCCATAAATTCGACGTCAACGACTGGCCCGCGTGTCGTTGGCATTCTTCGCGGGGAGGATTCTTTTTTACTCCTCTTTCTCTTTTTATTTGCAATGCTCTTTCAACGCGATCGCCATCCGCTTGGCAAGCTCGTACGTATGTATCGTTGAATGCTTCAGGTGGCTGTACATGGAGCACCGAAGAGACGACGCATTGGATCGCGAGAAGCAGCAGCAGCAGCAGCAACAGCAGCAGCAGATCGACGCCACGAAACCGACGAGCAAGGCGGAGCCGGACAATAGTAAAGTCGAAAACGGCCTCAGCCTCGACAAGGTCTCGGTGAAGACGATAGCCGTGGAGGCAGGGATCGACAACGCGGCTTTCGAATCGGAGAAACTGTGATCACTACGACTATAATACTATTTGCGCGAAAGCTATGAATGTCGTGTGTCGCGCGACAAATGCCAAAAAAAATATTTACGAGGTCGTTCGGTAACGGGCCGGACGAGCTTGCGAGCAATCCGAGATTCTGAATGATGTTCACGGCCTGCGTGTGGGCTTGTCGTTAGCTTGCGAAAAAATTGCGCTTGGAAAATAGAAAAGACACCTCTGCCACGCAGATCGTAAGTACGGCATGTTTATTGGGGATTTGGTCGTGCGCAAGATTCTTTTCAAGTCACACGACCAAGTATGCTTGTATTCTCATGTCGAAGACTTTCACGAGTACGCAGATTTCGTAAACAGTTGATTCCCAGTTTTATCTCGAAAGCTATGTCGAATGTTTGTAGTATATTTTGCCGATCGTTCTCTATCTCCGTAAGCAAATGTTTGGTGCGAGTTATCAGCAGACTCGCATTGTCCAAATTTCTTTTAATCGTACTACTCATACTTCACACATGAAGCTATGCCTTTTCAGATGACCAGAAGTTCTTTTATATAATCGTTGAAACGGCGTGCCTTGTAACATTACTCGTTTGCCAATATATCGATAGCAGTAAGATGCGATTATCTTTTACAAGTGCAATATTAAAGTTAATGTTACGTGATATAGTATTATTGTGTAAATAACTCGACAATCTGTATATGTATATACAAGACTGTCCGTCGAACGACAATTATAAATGTATAACACAGAAGCAGTATTTTAAAGAGGACACGCAGCAGGTGATGTCCTTTTTGAGAGAAAGTAAATTATTAAAGATGATAACGAATATTTAGCAAATACGCGCACATCTGAATACTAACGGTACATGACATATGACATATATTTTTAGATGCGTTTTTAAGCGAATACGAGTAACGAATACCAGTAACAGTTTCGAACAAATTTTTCGAATCGTTTTTAATACCTAATTCAACGAAAACAAAGAGAAGTTGATTACTCTGTCTCAATAAATTTTCTGATACTGTGTATTTTAACATTCATTTCGGTTTGCGATTGTTTGTTACTACAATAAACGATGGCATCACATTTTAGAAACAAAAACAACTATGAAATTACTAGTACGTAGATTTTATTGTAAATAAAGCATTGTACTTAAATGGATTGTAGTAGTGTCTTAGAGGGGAATAATCGTTAATAATAATTATCAAGTATTTTGCAATATTTGATTCAGTAAAATTGTACGACGCAGCTGAAGCGTTTGAATTCTATTGTAAACTAGAAAAAGAGCGTGAAAATAATTGGAACGACGATAAGCGTAATTGTTTAATTTATTGTTTTGAAATTTAATAAAAAAAGAAGTTTATTTTGTTCGAGAATAATGATGAATTCTTATAACTTCATCCTTATAACTTGAAAAAATGTACTGAAAAATGGACACCAGTCGCCAAATGACTCGCAACAGATGCGCCCCTGCGAAACAAAAACGCGGCGCCCTCGCAACTCTAACCTCTGTGCTTGTTTTGTTCCGAAAAAACAAAGTCGCGGTAACCTCGAAGAGAAGCCGAAGAGATAATGAGGATACGGAGGCAAGTTTGGCGATGTGGGAACATCTGCCGGAGCTGATCCTGACGCGGGTGTTCGGTCGATTGGAGCGTCGCGACCGGGCGAACGCCGCGCAGGCCTGCCGACACTGGGCGCGATGTCTCGACACGCCGTGCCTTTGGCGGCGCTGCACCGTCTACGTCGATCAAGACTTTTCGTTCGGCGACACTCTGACCAGCGAGCTCGCGGTGCTTAGCCCTCGGCCGCGCGGTAAGCCCAGCGGAACGCAAGCGGTAACGCGCAACTGACGCGCAGGTAAAGTACGGCGAGTACATGCGGAGCTTGGAGCTGATTTGGGAGCGGCCGCGTCGCGCCAGTCGTGAGCCGCGGCTCGCGCGCAGTGTCCAGGCGGAGCTGGGCGCGGACTTCCTCGCCGCCGTGCGCGCGCAGGACCCGCAGCTTCGAGAGCTCGTGCTCGCCAATTGGAACTACGCGAGCAAGTGGGGCAATTCCGGCAAGCTGCTCCGCGCCCTGGGCGACCTCCTCGCGTGAGAGCTCGCTTCCCGTTCGCGGCCGAACTTTCGATCACAGCTCTGCCATACGCGATTCGCACCGCAGATGTCAACCCACTCTCGAGAAGCTGAATATGTTCAACGCCAATCTCGGACTGAGCGATGCGCTGAGGCTGCTGGCGATCGTCGTGAGAATCAGCGGAGCTCGATTGGCCTGGCTGGACCTACACGGGGCTTTCAAGGATTGGAAGGCTCCCTTCAACAATGCCAGGTCGGCGGTTGCTCTCGTGACGCGCGAATCCACCGATCGGACCGATTCACACGCTAACGCGCTTTTGTGCCAACAGATACCTCAGACTTATCGGACGGCTAGGCGCTTTGAAATATCTGAGCCTCGACTACCCGGCACTTTCAGACGGCGCGTTAAATGCACTAGCCTCCGGTTCACCCAATACTCTCGAGCAACTGCAAGTATTCGTCAAAGATTCGGACTGCAGACAGCATCGCATCGACGACTCCACTTGGCTAAATTTGGTTAACGTTTGCCCCAACCTCAGCGTCTCTTACACGCTTGGTAGGTAGTTTCAGGTAGAGTTAGAAAGAAGTTTAGACCGACCAAAGTCACGAAACGTCTATTTCTTCCCTTGGCTTCCCAGTGAATATATCGCATCACGAAGATCTAAGCTACTTGTTGCTGCCGAGCGTACCTCTTGCCAAATTCCAAATGTACGGGCACAATGTTTGGGACCAAAGTCGCTCTCGTAACTTTCGCGGCACCGTTGGTCTTTTGATCAATCATTACACCAATACCTTGGGTATGATTTTTAGAACTTTCGTGGATCGGATCGAATGGAAGCCTCTTCACAAAGATGGAATTATGTCAATTTTTTTAGACGAAGTCTTGCTGCAGTTACGGAACAACAGAGAGATGCTAGACGATTTGATACTTACTATGCTGATCCAGTGTAAAAAACTTAAGCGGCTTCAGTACGATGGAATAATGCGGAATCTGGAAACTATACGAGATATATGTCGACTCACAATAGATTGCCGAGCTCGTAAGTATGGTTAAAGCGAAGACTTTATATATAAAGTCCGCGGTTCCATGACCTCTAAGTTTAATAGCTACAACGGTTCTTTAGTCGTTTTGGTGGGTTTATTATTTTCTGCCATCGAATACAAAGTCATGTGACTATTTCACAATTTGCATTTTATAACAATTTCAAACAGCGTAACTACTTATTTTTAATTTCATTGCCGAAACTTTCGACTCGTTTGCAGTTGAATGTTTTTTTAATTAATCACCATCGTTAAATGTGTCAACAGGTTATCAAACTATTCACTTCAAGCATAAAAATTTAAACCCTTTTAATCGAGCGCTTCTGCGAGACATTAAACAGGACATGAGTCACAAAATAAAATATCAAGGAGTTGATTTTGCTATAGAAAATCCAGACTAATAAAATATATGATTTTAAACGTTTGTTTGAATAAATGATCATGCCAAACAATTTTCACATCTATCAGATACGTTTTTATCTAAATTCATCTTTTTATACTAATTATTTCAAACACTTAAAAAATATATAAAAATCAAAAATGAAATGTACAGCAAGTATTTGCACGTCAGAAAAATGTTTTTAATTGGAGTCCCTTCTAATAAATTTTAAGCGAATGTCATCTAGTTTCATAGTAATATCGAGCGCAAATTTGAAATCGGCACTCGAATCAATGGGTTCAAAATAAAAGTTGTACAGCATATGAGCAACTATAAGCTTCATTTCCATTATTGCGAATTTTTGACCTGCAAAATAAGCAATTATAATAATTTCTTCATGTCACGTGTCAAAGCTTGTGTATAATCAGTTTCAAAATAAGTTTAAAAAGTAACTACCAATGCAATTGCGTAGACCAGCGCTAAAAGGTAAATAAGCGAATGCATGCCGATTTTGTACATTTTCTGGTAAAAATCTGTCTGGGTCAAATTTATTAGGCTCTGGCCAAAAATGAGGATCCCTATGAAGATCATAAGCGCTCATATATACTTCAGCTCCTACTGGGAGCTTATATTTGCCTAAAATTTACAATACACTAATTACGACCATTCTTATTCCTACTACTTTAGATAAATCTAAAATCATTCGATTTTGATGTACAATGAATTATTAGGAGATTATTTGTCACGTTCGTTGAATCAGGAATAAATGAATTAAGCTATCGATAGATTCGAAAATATGAATGGTATGCGTTCAAGGTTTACTTAGTTGTATATCTTCGGTTATTATACGGCCGTAGTGGGGAGCGGTAGGATACAATCGTAAAGATTCTTTTACGCAGCGTTCGAGATATTCCAATTTCTTAACATGTTCCATTGTTATACCATCGTGATTTTTTCCTAACTCTTTCAATAATTCTGCTCGAGCCAAATCCTAAAATGATGGATCATAATTACTTTTAGCAGAACAAATATTGATAGCCTTTGGCAATAAATATTACATACCTGTATGTTTTTATTTTCTGCTAATAATACCAAAAGAAAAGAAATTGCCATTCCCGTCGTTTCAAAGCCCTTTGAAATATGTTAGTCTTTGCATTAATAAAAGTTGAAATTGCGCATTTGAAAACTATGATAAGACTTAAACTTAAAATTAATGCTGCAAAATCTAACTAGTTTTCGTGATATTTTTTGCATTATAAAAATTCTTACAGCAGTGGCGACAACTAGCACTTCTTCCAAAACTCCATGGTTATCAATTAAACCTTTCTGTTCAGCCATCAATAATAAATCTACTACAGCCAAATTTTTTCTTAATCCTGTATCATAATGAAAAGCAGATTCACTCATTTTGTTGGTAAAATATTAGATAAGTTGATAGCATTTTCTTTTTTTAATTAAAAGTTCATGACGTTTGAACTCACCTTTGATATCATCGCCAACTACACCATCTTCCAATTCATCCACTTGACTTTTAAAAACGCTGTGTCCTATACGTTCGTGATAACGACGTCGTTCATTGGTAATCTTAAATATATTCCATATATTAACTATTTGTTTTCATAATTATATGAAATTCAGTAGATAATTACCTTTGTCCGAAAATCATCAAGAACTTTATGTACTCTTGATAGTCGTTTTCCTATGGGTAGAAACGGTAACATCCAATCGAGTATATATGGTCTACAAACTCTTTGAAAGAGGAGAACAATACATTACAATACATAACAAACTTGAAAGTATAATTCGTGATTATTTCATATCATTTGATATTCAAAACCAAAAAATGATTGAGATAGATATGATATTTTTATCGATACTTTGACAAAGAATAGTTCAAAGGATAATGTTTTTTTTGTAGTTATCGCCTCGTATTATAAATTCAACTCGTTAATTTTACTAGCAAGAGATTGTGTCACTGCTTCAAAGAAATTGATTAAAATACTCCATTGTAATTAATTTTTTATTTATATTAAAAATAGTAAAATGTTTTTTTGTCAGGTAATAAGAAATAAATTGAAGATTTAGAAAAATACTTTTTTCAGAAACGCAGTGCAGTAATCAGAATAATATAATATCGTCAATGAGTTTTAATTTTGAGAAAATTATATATTATTACATTTCTGGCAAATATGATAAATAATTTTTTACCTGTACATTGTTATTTCACTAAGTTCAATAAATGTATCTCTAAATCTTTGTTCTTCTTCAGCCGACATAGAATCGACGTCGAAATCCATTACTGCTTCTGTTATCAAAAATAAAAAGACTTTTTCTCCGTCGCAGCTGAATTTTATATAATTTAATACTACTTACCACATACAGCAGCCAAAGCGAATTTTAAAAATATTGGAGAGATATTTTCTACGATGATATTACCTTGAGAACGAAGATCTAATGCAAATTTTGCTGCGCGCTTACATATTTTATGCATATAAATTTGTAAAAGATTAGTGTTAAATGCTGGGTTTAATATTTTACGTCTTGGATGCCAGTAATCACCTTCATAAAGATCATAAATATCATAAGATGTTTTGGAATAAATAATATAAGAGTTTTCGGAAATTTTGTAGAAATTTTTTACCATCGGAAAAAAGGATTCCATTATTTCCTGTATATTTAACGGTACCATATCCTGCAGGGCATTTATCGATATTTTTTTTACAAGATAGAATTATCTGGAAAGTTCGATAAAATTTGATGTTGAAAACGTAGGAATTTTTTCAGAAGTTAATATTTTTTAAATATATGAGCACTTTTAAATCGTCTGGATGCCGGAGAAGAACAGCAGCGCTTGTAACACTCCATAATTTGTAAATTGGATAATATTGATCAAAATAGTCACATACTCTAGACCATGCTTTTTCTAAAATAAAAAAATATGATTTTACATATGTTTACCAAAATGATTCCTTCTTTGTTCACTGTGGTGGAATGAGAATTTCATTAATGTAATGTAAATTCACTATTTATACTCCAAACACATTTAAATGCTCCAGATCATGTATATTTCCAACTTTAAAATGAATTTATTCTACTTACCGCGTGATACGTTGAACTGAAGTAAATTTCCAATAAATGGTAAGGGCCTTGGTCCTGGAATCTTGTTAATTAATCTACCAAATCTACTATATCGAGTATATATATGGAAAGATATTAACAGCAATGTCACTGATATAAGGTAAACAATCATAGCGTCGCATATAAAAAATTAAACTTTTCTATTTTTGATTACTTCTTATTTCTCGTCTCGTATTTTTTCAAGTCATACAAATGTACTTTAGTAAGTGTCGATAATATAACGTGTGTATAAAATGAGACATCAGTCGTGATGTCACGATTTTCATTCAATCATATCAGATATTACCGTATAAATAATTTCTGTTTCTTGCAGACACTTCCATTTACAATGGAAATACGAGTTATAAATTCGGTACACTCTTTCGACGAGCCACTTGTCAGTTATAAGCAAAATACGAGTTGATCACGATTCGTCCTTTGCTTACTATGTTAACAAATTTTCTGCAATACTAAAACTAGTTTCCAGACAATCCTTGCAAGTAATGTTGACATGCCATATCAATCGTATCATAATGATACACGAAGGCTTATTACAATCACATACGTCGATTTTTCTGACATTTACGTCACATTCGTCAAATATATCTATAATACTTATTATCGTAATATTTCATCAAAACAAACTTTTTATTTCCTATAAATTTTAATATAGACTTTTATGTGCCACAATTAAATAGTTACACAATAAAAATTTTAGTTTATTTTAAAAATATATAGCCTACATAATGACGGAAATAAGAGAAAATAATAAAGTGCCTAAAAAACAGATTTTCCAACGAATTGATATTATAATATAAATTTTAAAAAATTAAAAATATTACTCTTGACCAATACTCTATTATGCATACCGCTAATTTTTATTCCTAATACAAAATAGAAATACATAAATAATTTAATTAATAAGTTCATAATATTTTCTATTTTTTATTGCATTTTTATTACGTTTGGGAATATTCTGAAGCTGAATAAATATCGAAGATCGCTATTTGAAATAAATATAACATTGTCTTGGATTGTCCAAAAGATGAACAAGATAAGAGGTAAAATTTCTAGTTCAACGAATAATATTAGGTGGGCAAATTATTAAATTATTAAGTTTGGGTTCTATCTCCAAATGCTATAATGCCGATCAACACTTGACTCATGATATTATTAATTTATGTAAGCCGCACGTATGTGACCTGTCTTTAAAAAACTGTTCGTACGTCTCATTAAGTTTCAATAAAGTACGAATTGGCTGCACTGTACTTTTATCCGAATATATTTTATTCGAAAAATTAACTACTCACCTGTCTACGTAGAATTTGTAAATTTATAATCCATTAAGAACAGAAATTATCGTTGTAGTTTATTTACTTTATTTCATTTAAAGCAGATTTGATAACAACAAAGGGTAAGATATTTATTTGAAAATAGCTTCCAGAAGGTTGCGTGTAAGGTAAGCAAATTATAATATGAGAAAGTTGAGTGCACTTTCCATCTTGATTATCAGGTTGTGGTATTTTGACACTCCGCGTGCGAAAATGCAACATTACGCAAACTTGGAAAAGTAGACGTGCTAAAAATTGCATTTTGCGCTCGTCGTGTCAAACAGCACAATAAAACATATGTAGGAAAAGGAAATTCCTCGCGTAAACTTCTCACGTTCTACGAAATGTATATCTCCTTTCCCGCATTAGTATTGCAAATGCACCCTCGCTACAATTGATTCGATACGTAGTCCATTCATAATGCATTAGCGTGGGTGGACGAAATCTATCGTCGACGAGGGTACTATTATTTATTTTAAATTTAACTTTTCTTTTATAAACATTTTTATTTTTTTTCTTACCAAATTACGTACATCCTATTATATCTTTATGGGAGCTATCTACGGGTAGTTTTGTACTAATTCATAAAAAACGCGCATATCAATGAGATTAATATGAAATCCAATATTCATGAACATTTCCCAAGAAAGTTTTTGAGTTGCATCAGGTACAGGTTGATCATGTTTGATGACGTAAATTAGAAAAATAATATTCGATAATTTTTCAAGTTTTCCTGAAAAAGTTGAAAATTTTTAATAAAAAATCTAAAAATAAATAAATAAAAGTAAATAAATTACGTAACAACATTGCTTATGATAAATATCATATTGAGAATGATGACAACTTACCGTTTACCGATAGTGCTGAAAACAATGAAATAGTTCAGTCTATAAAGCCGAAATAACGAATCCAGCATGACTGTGAAATTCGTGTAATAAATAATTTAATAGAAGAATTTGAAAAGCATTATGCAACTCTTATAAAATTGAAATGATTCTTAATCATGGGTACAATTCTCCTCTCGTATGTTTTTAAATTGAAAATTTAAAAGTACAATACTCCGCGTAATCGAACTTGTGCAATAAAAGGCAAATGAGACCATAACCATAAATCTTGCGGGCATGCTAAAAGCAAAAAGAGAGAAAATAAGTCAAACGAACGAGGCGCACTTACCATACAGTGTACATCGATTTCGAGAGATGCATTGATCTGACTGGCGGCGCCTGCTGTGCTGGTACTCCCGTCGGGTACACCGCCTTATGACTTTGATTCGTTATATCCCAGACGGCTTGCCAGCGCCACGAAGACGAGCGTCGGTATAGAGTCGAAACGACTCCGAAATAGGATGGAATTCGTGCTGCGCGACGTGCCGTGCGCGTACTACAGGATTTTGAAGGAGCGGGGGATTAGCGAATACTGTTTGCGTAGCGATTTTCCAGCGCCGGCTAGAGATGATTGATGGCCGGACACGTTGAATAACGATAAAGCGAGCGCGACGGCATTATTTCGTGGCACGTATCGATCAGCATTCACGCGCGTAGGTTCTTCCGTAGCCAATTCAAATAGAGCATATAATATGCGCTAGATATTGAATTTGACAAGGCAATAAAAACTAATAAGCTACATTTCACTGTCGCTTGTCTTACGTAAATGTTGATGATTTTACTGCTTTATCCTTGATTATTGGGTGCGATCTTGAAGCGGTGTTCGCGCGAGCTTGTCGTTTTGCGTTTGGAAGTCGTAGGAAAAGAATTGGAGTAGAGATTAGCAGAGAGCGAGAGCTGTATAATTAGATTAGATTTATTATTTATTTTACAGAGACACTATACAGATTAGTCGATCAAAATGCCATTAAAGAGTACACATATTTGCTTATGAACGTGCAGGTGTATTGAAATGCGACGGGAGTACGTGTGAGAATAAGGTACGCGGCGAGATGCGCGTTTACACGTAAAGCGGTGATAATCGTCGCTCGGCTTATCTCTTTACGTAAACGAACGCGAAAGTTCGCGCGCGACAGGTGCGCGAGCGAAACTTCTCATTATAGCACAGCCACAAAAGTACTGAGACTTCACTTTCGATTCCGCGCCTGCAGACATGCTCCAAGTTACAAATTTATCAGTGGTATGAATTGACGCTTAAAGTTGCATTTATGTCGGAGAGATAAATTATTTGGTTTCACGATTTGCTCTAGCTTATTTATTTTTATTCTTTCTTACTCGTCATTCGCTTCAAGCTCATTCGAAACTCTTAAGTTCTAAGCAGAAAGCGTACTTTTCCCACCCAAACGGTCATCCGCGCATAATCATTAACGAACGGCCAGATTGACTTTAAATGCTTAGTCGAGGAGCGCTTCGTCTTCGTAATCCTCGTCTTCGATGTATCTCTTGCCCATGCCAAAGTTCAAGTTGTTGCCGCGTTTTTCTTCCTCCGGTAAATCGTTGTACAGCTCCATTACCCGCTTACCTGCCCAAAATAAAGTAAATGTGTGCAATTTCAACATGATCAACTCAGAAAATTTAACGATCTAATATCATAATTTTAATGCTTCAACGTTTAGTTGCAGCGTCAGTCGTACACTTCATCTGGCTTTCATTCATTCAATGGATAAATTTTGGCTTGAAAAAAGTGAGTTCAAAGTAAACGTTCAAGTTTCCATGCTGTCTTAAAATATTGAACGAATTTAGGAAGCAATGCATCGGTAATGAGAGTAAAATCTGTCGATCGATGAATAAATCATTAGGGGGCAGAGGGGAGAAGGGGGCCGGGTAAATTGTCAAACGACGTGCCGTGGACTGCAAGAACGTCAAAGGATCGCGCATCAATTACGAATGCAAACCCACTTACCTAAACCGAGGTCGAACTTGCGCTTGTCTTGCGTATATGCGTCGAGGGCTTGGTCGTAGTCTATCACCCCGTCGTCATCCTCGTCGTCGTAGTTGTCCCTCTTGCCCAGTCCGAACATGCCGCTCGATGATCTTTTGCCCAAGCCGAATTGCATGCCGCTCGATGATCTCCTGCCCAAGCCGAATTGCATGCCGCTCGTCCTTTTGCCCAGCCCGAAGGATTTGTCATTGAAGGTGAGTCGCTTGCCCAAACCGAAGCCTACGTTTTTCCACTCTTCTCGCTTGCCCAATCCCATCACGTAATTTTTCGGCAGTCTCTTGCCGAGGCCCGTTGTTCTCAACCTTGAGATGGACCTTTTACCCAGGCCCGTCGTCATGTACCTTGAAATTGATCTCTTGCCAAGTCCCGTAGTCATTAGCCTCGAGATTAGTCGCTTGTCCTGTCCCAGCGAGAAAGGCAGAGCTGACCTTTTACCCATGCCGAAGGCGAAATTTCCTCGTTGAACCTACGAATTTCGTTTTCACCTTTCATTCGCCCCCGTAAATTTACATTTTTCAAATTTATAGCCCGCGTCTTATACGCGTATATATCCCTATATTATGTAAGGATAACGTCGATTTTAGCCCTCAGCTATGTCCCTTTTTGCCCCTTTTTGTCCCTTTTTGCCCCTTTTTGCTCCTTTTCAAATCGCGTAGTTTTTCATAGTTTTCTTGATGCTTTCTATAGTATATCAGTAATCCGTAGATTAAAATAGTATAAATTGGACGGAATCGAAATATATAAAAATTGGTCGGGAGTTCCAGAAGATTGTCGTAATGTTAAAGAAATTCATAACATGTTTAGCGCGAAGATATTTATTTCTAAAACATTTTTGTTCCATCTATAGTCAGAATAACTTTATGACTATGTTAGCAAATAAAATATCAACGTTGTGAAGTAAATATAATAGAGATATTGTAAAAAAATAGTTAGTTAATAGTTAGTTAATGATAAAATAATAAAAAATATACTGACTTGTACATAGATACGGGAATAACGAGCTAGATAAAATAATTTTATCAATAACTCGGCACATAAGAAAAAATATACTAAACCATATCATTAAAACAGTACAATAAAAAGTATAATATTTTTTGTCGTGAAAATGATAATTGCAACTTAACGTGACAAATATACTTTACGCAACGCGAGCACAATTATCTCGAGGAACAATTGAAAAAATATTTGCTTTGTAATCGTTTAATTTCATAGCTAATTAAGAGAGAAAGAGAGAGAGAGAGAGAGAGAGAGAGAGAGAGAGAGAGAGAGAGAGAAAAAGAGACTGACCTTGTTTGATGTCGTGGCATCAAAGCTCGGCGCGAACCGCTTGCCCAAACCGAAAGTAAAGAGCGGTAGCCTCTTGAACTCCGAGCGGTAAGCAGAAGCTCTCTTCTCTCCGGAAAATTGATCCTTGGTATCACCCAGTGAACTGTAGCCAGCAAAACTTGTGGCTGGCGATTGAGACGACGACCCGGACGACGAGGATGAAGTGGCTGACGCAGACTCGCTCGCCGCGAACGACGGCTCGCCGAGAATGCTCAACGCGCACAGCACTATTAGCTTTGTTCTGCACCTCATCTCTTCCTGCCGAGCGTGTCGCTGTCTACGAGATTGCGTCTGAAAAGAATTGCGTTGCTTTTACTCCGAGACAAGTTGCCGCGTCTGCTGTCGCTGATTGTTTCGCCGCTTCTCTTTTACGGAACGGGTTTTGAAAAATTACGCGCACAATTTGACATGGACTGGTCACAAGAATATTTAAGAAAAAACTCGGATTTCGCAAAGCGTCCGAGCTCTTAATAAATTGCATTGGTGCAATCGGAAAAATGTGGTCTAATTGATTGGTGATTCCGGTGTCCCATTGTCCATAGGATAACTTCACGCCATTGTATAGATACGAGCTATTTGAGAAATAAACGAACCGGACTTGCGCGCTAGCAGCCGTGCCGGATAATATTAAAACTAACGACCCTCCCGTGTACACAATATGCAGCGCGACGATATCTTGTAAAACTTGTATCAAATTTAATCGCGCTCAGTCTGAAAGTTTGCTTATTCAGAGCCTTTCATTAAAAAACTTTGGCAATCGCGCGAAACGCAGGTTTGATCGTCAAGAGAGAGAGAGAGAGAGAGAGAGAGAGAGAGAGAGAGAGAGAGAGAGAGAGAGAGAGAGAGAGAGAGAGAGAGAGAGAGAGAGAGAGAGAGAGAGAGAGAGAGAGAGAGTAGTACGAGCGACGATCAAGAGAAACGACCGTCGGAACTTTCGACGGGCTGTACACTTCTTTACGTCTCGCTCGGATATTTGCTTTTAATCTGGTCCCGTCTCCGACCGCGCCACGAAAGCTCGAGCCTCGCTGTTTCGTCGGCAAGTGAAAAATGAAGATCTAGCTGACGTCAAGAGCCTTATTGGACGCAAACAGCGTGGAGAGATCGCAGGCCAGCGACACGGCGAGAGCAGAGCACTCTGCATAAACAAGCACGGCCGAGCTTAAGAGTAAGACGATCAACACAGCCGACGCAACGAGGCGGCTGAAAGTCAGATGCGATCCTGTGTGCGTGGTGACGCGTCAGGCGCGCTGTCCGACGGGATGGGCGTATGTTGACGAAGGCTATCGAGAGGCTTTCGCCGAGGCGTAAATAATCAGAGCGCAAGGATTCCCAGTTTATCTTCCCTTCTCTCTCTCTCTCTCTCTCTCTCGCCAACTACGCTCGCCATTCTATCGGATGTTTGCCGTAGAAAATCAAGGAGAATGGCTTTTCGGAGTGGCTTGCGCTGCGCCCTGTCGATTCTTACGACAGCGCGTCAGAATTTACCCCACTCATCGTTCAACTTTAAGCAGAGTTGTCGGCATTTTTGAGGGAGTACAAGTCAGCTTCTCGATTCGGCTCGGTTTTTTTTTATCGAATCGACGAAAAGAATACACGCGACACAGCTCAAAGGAATAGAAGAAAGGCCATCCCAAATTACTATCAGCCATCGAGCAATTTTGCCAATGACCTGAAAAATGGCGGGAAAACCGGCAATCGCGCGAGAAGATCTTCAGAGAGGAAGCCAGAAACCACCGTGAAAAACGCAGAGACGCCGCGCGAAAAGTGCAAGCGACAGGCGAGAAGTGGCGCGGGATTAGTGTGTAAAGTATATGGCTGTGTCTGCAGCGCGCGAGGCAATCGAGTTTGCGCCTCGAATTCGTGCCGCTGCTGCTTTACGAAATTGTGTCCCAGCTGGGCGTCGCGTCTCGCGTGCTCCAATTCGAAGCCACGGCAGATCACACTCGGCAATCTACCCGTGGCGCGAATATGGAGCGCGCGACGCGTTTTATCACGACTCGCGCAGGACGCCGGTGATTAGTTGATCATCGTTATTTGCTTATTGAGGCTTTTCAGCAAATTGTTTCTCGTTGGCGCGTCGTGAAAGCATCCACTTTGTCACTGAAACACTCGGATGCGACGCGTCGCCAGCGCAAGCTCTTTTCGGAATTGGTCCTTGCAACCCGACCGGAAACTTCATCGTAGCGGCCTTAGTCGCGACAGACGACAGTTTCTATTTATTCCCAAATCAAACATTCAAACCACTATTAAGAAAAAGTAAGATTGCAATGATCTACCATTAGCAAAGTTGAAACGACCGTTGGCATGGAAATACCACAACTTAATTCCTAAATATCACTAAGCCTTTCATGAAGGTCCTACATTAATAAAAATGTTTCTGATAATGATTATCCAATTTAATTAATACACTCATTAATAAAAGCGTTATTCATTCAATATTATCTTTTAATTAGTCTATTTTCCAAGCACAAACCTCGCAATTTGCAAGACGCTTGTCCAACTTGCTGCAGCAACATTATTTGAGCTGAGGAAACTCACAATGCAGTGGCGTTCAAAAATTCACGACAGCCGTACCGCGTAGATTGGCCGATAACGTCGTATAAGTGAAGAGAATCCACACAAATAGAATAATTTATTTCTATCGTTCGTGTTATAAACATTTATTAAATTTTCAATGGAGGCACTCACTTTCGTCGCGCATCTTCTCCCATAAAAGTAATTTGTTGCTCGCGACAAATTTCGTTCGGAATAGATGAGCTGTTTTATTTAACGATTGATGCCATTCAAAGGCAGTTATTGAATTTGAAATTTATCGGCCAATAAGCCTTTTTTTATGTCGGCAAATCCCCGCAAAAAGCGCTATGATTGGAAGTAATTTTTTGGCTTGGTTGTCGATCGCCTGACGGTACTCTGACTTTTACCCCTTGATCGTTGATTTTTGAAAATCCAATTAGAATTTATTCCCCTTGCAATCTTCAGTTACACTCGACGATCGATTCGATAATAAAGTATTTCACTTGGAGGGTATTCGTATATAACGACCATTATACATTATCGGCACAGCCTTACGCCCCTTTTATGGCGCTACATTACGAAAGATTTCAATCTCCCTGAAGTGTCGAGTCAACAAAATAACATCTAACCTCTGAAAAGTCGGAAAATAATAAAGTCCAGCGTGAGCGCGGGAGATTCATAAGTTGCAATCTTGCGAACATATATGTACATACTCGTACATCGTACCGTCTGCTCATCATTATGCGCGCAGGGTATAAAACTCGGACCAGCGTCGCTTTACGAGCGGGTAAAAAAAAATGGGACGAGCTGCGAAATCGCCGTTAAAATCCCTTTATAAAGCTCGTCTCACGCGGAGAGAAGGCACTCGAGGAAACAATCGTGAAGGAAAACGAGAGGGCCTATTACCGACAACTGGTCACCGCGTTCACCGTGATTTTACTTTATTTTTACGCTTCTTTCATTTCAGTGGTATTAACTTTATACCTTCCGGTCGGGATTCTTTCCTCTTTCAAGTGGCTTTTCATTAAATAGTCTGCACGTGAATTCTTAATTTTGCGTACTGAATTGTCTTCGCCGAGTGTGGGAGGAGAAGCCAATTCATTCTGTCGTGACGACGGCGTCATTGAAATGTATGTTAATTTTGCGCAATAACGCTCGCCAGTCGTGATACTCCACGGGGCGACGGCGGCGGCCCGGAGAGGAACAGATCAGTCTCGGCATTGTTCGGAGGGTAGCCGTGAAAGCGGCCGGAATGAAACTGGGGATTTTCCAGGTTTACCTCTCATTGTGTCGTTTTCTCATTCCAAACGGCGCATCGGGGGCTACCCGCGAAAACAGCGAGGAGAATGTCGCGCGACTTTGTAAACTCTATCGCTCATTTTTCTCGCGTCAATCGTCCTTTCGAGATTTACGGAATTTGTTTCACGTGGCGATCGTCCGTCAACGTTTCACGAGTCGCGTCGTTGTTGGTCTTGTTGCTCGTTTTCGTTGTCGACGTTACCGACGAAGGAAATGAGCATTTTAGAATCCTTTGTCATCCTTTCAGAAGCATGTTTTCCAAGGGGACGTCAGCGAAGCGTGAAAAATGTGGGATTTTTTCAAATCCGTGGCGACTTTTATTTGCCTGGTATACACATATAGCTGCACTTCTAAGTTCGAGGAAATCAAGATTTATGCATTGCTTGCTCGCGCGTTAACTTTACAATACGGATCATCTCGTGCACCCTCGATACACCCAGCCGGCAAAAATTTCAAAAGCTCGAGCGTAGGCAAGTTGCCTTTTTTCTTTTCGACTTCGCAAAGCTATCTACATCGGAGTTTCTTGAGGTAGAAAGCTATTTATGAGCGAAGGAGCATAAGAGACTTGTCGCTGAATTCATTCGAGTGGGAATATTCTTGTATGGAGAATTATGGTCTTGGCGTTCAATTATCAGGGGAGTTCTGACAGATACGCGCGTATCGTAGATGAAGGGCTGAAATAAATATGCTTCGGCGAACGGATCGTGATATAACCAGACATTTATTGTTATTACGTTTTGCGGCAATGTTTATGCGAACCCCACGAATTGCCAATTCGCAAATGCGGAATAATTGTGCGACGACAACGTTAAACGCGACGAACCAATCTCAAGTGAACTCAACGCTATTATCAATTAAAATTAACGAAATCGAGTCGGATTGCCCAATTTGGCACGACAGTAAACGGCTCGGGAAAAGCGTTTCAACTTAGATTTAGATCTGATGATCTGACTAGTTATTTCCTTTTTAATCGCACGCCTCTCGCAACTCTGGCGCTTCAATTTAAAATTAGCCATTGCCGAGCAAACAGCATCTACCTATACGAACTTCCCATCACGGGCATCGCGGCAGCACAGGACTCAATAACCAGATATGAGAAATCAGCGAAGCGTTCGTTTTTTGCCTCGTCTCACGGCATAAGCAAGACACTTGATCGACAGCCGCGTTAACACGGGTAACGTTCACGCGTCTACGTCCACTAATAAGAGCAACAATGTTAACGTCGTCCCGGTATTCCTGGATCGGCACTGACACCCTGTGAAATGAAATTGTATCCCGTGCGTGTGCGTCTGTTTACACACGAGGCGATCGACGTACATAAGGAGAGAGTATTGTCATTAAGATAGCCATTGGCTCGTATCGCACGTCGGATCGGTGAAAGCGAACGGAGAATGAAAAGGACAACCGCGCCATTTTCTTGAAGCGACCGCAGAATTACCTATCCAAGCAACCGAATTTGCCCATATCTCTCCGACTTTTCAGCAAAAGTCGATTGCGCGTGTGCTTATTGGATTAGTTGGATGGCTCCAGTTGTTGACGTTTGCCTGTTTGAAGAAAAATAGCATCGCCTTTTGTCATCTCGTAAAAACTCGCAGCTACAAAAGAAATTGCCGACGGCCAAAAACAACAATCCTCGAAGAAAAGGTCGAATCGATCGTATTGTTCCAGGGATTTGCGGAGCGTGGGCAGCGAAATTTGAGTCGCAAACAAGCCGTTGTCGTGGTATACGAAGTCACTTGCTTTTTTAATTTCCTCGTCAAGCACTGCCTCTCTCTTTAATAACTATCTCTCGCGGTGACTTACGAGCTTGCCTTCTTTTGGAAAACCAGTCAGAGCTGTTGTTCGAGCCTGGCTTTCGGCGAAAACGAGCGCCAAGTAGAATAGGGTCGACATTGGTCAGACAATGGACTCTAATATTTCGTTATTAGCAACCTCCTCGGGGCAAACAATACTTAACCTCGGAAGTTATTAAAAAATCGCTTATCCTTTTACGAGCGCCGAGGGTCCAACTAAAGCATTGCCGTTTGATATTTTATAATGCGCAAGACAAAGTGCTCTGACGATTTGCAATCACTTCGTGTGGGTTTCGCTAAATGCGACATCTCATTTGTTAATTGATTAAATTGCGTAAATAATCAATCGGAATACGGCCCGCTAAAGTGACTGTTCGAATTATCCGCCGGCAATCCTCGATTAAAATTGACACCGTTCCATTCCCCTGAAACTTCTTTGAAGGCTCGCGAGAACGCCAGGTTTCGATTGTCGACGTCAGCCGAAATTCGCGAACGCATCATTCAAGTGCTCATTAGCTCGCTAGCGAACGCTGTCGCGTATATGCAACTGTAATGAGCATCGTAGCTTTGCGTTATTATTTCAACAGCAGAGGTGCAACGTCTTTCCGTACGTCATCATCGTAACAAGCTACTTTCTAGCACATCGCGAAAATTCATTTGTTTTATCAATTCCACTTTATCTGCTGGTTCTTTTCTCGGTGATCCTTTCTTTTTGCGGAACTCTGCGCGTCCGGCTAATTTTAAGCCTTGACAACTTTGGAGTTTCAAAGGAAACAAACGATACTGCTATCTTGTCTAGTTGCTAAAATAATTCGTGTGAGAACGTGTTTCCTTGTTTCACAAACTGAGACTGCTCTTACGGTAAATTTCAGTTAACTCGCTAATGACTTTCTTCCTAGGACAGAGAAAAATTTTTTAATTAAATCTCATGTTTTTTCTTTTAGAACAATTAAATGGTAATCTGGAACTCAATGCTCAAAGCTGCAGAGCCAAGGATAATAATTTAACAAAGCCACGGCCAAGAACGCGATTAAAGCAAATGTGTAATTACCTAATTAACGGTGAGCTATCGGATTATCTTATTCGCGTCAATTCGATCAACGCAGAAGTTTCATGAAAATATACGCCCTACCTCTCGCTCACATTCGATTCTGATGAGGGAGAAAAGAAAAACTCATTATCGAATAAAAGAAGTCATGCGAATTAGAGACACGAGTGGCATACTGCAACGGTCGAGTTTATTTGCGTCGAAAGCAGCTGCGATTGGCACGGACGTTGATCGAGCAAGCGTAAAATTCGAAGGATTATCACAGAGAAACTATGTGTGAGAATTGGAATAAAAAACAAAAGTCGAGTGAGGGATGCGATAGATGATACCGTTATGAATATTTCGATATGCAAATCGCCTTTTTTTTATTCAACAGAATAATTCGTCGACAGAATATTATTTATTAGATTTACGTAGTATAACGTGGCTACCTATTGACATGTGCGCATCCGTAGGACACTTTTTTCTATCATCCTGAAAACGATCGATCAAAAGAAGATGAATTTTCATTGTTTCTTATAATCTTATGAAAAATGATAGATGACAAAGTTACTCTGACGTTTAATTCAAATTATACAGGTCAAAATACGTTGAAAACTATATCTTCGTTTATTTTTATATCAACATTTCAACCCTCGACGAGCTTTCAAAACTATAGCACTGCATAAAAAACTCATTGCTATAATAAAACTACGAAATTGAGATGTTTACGGAGAATTTACGATTTCGAAGCTCTGCAAGGGTCAATATTTCGAGCAAGAACGTAAAGCAACATATGCTCGCGACGTATTTTGACTCGTGAAATTCGAATTTGCAATGATATTAAAGCTATTGTTTATCATCCTTTATTGAATTTCAAAATAACGAAGAAATTTGTATAAGTGACGTTATCGTCGTTATCGATGCCCAGTGCACTTCTATAGTAAGCATGCGTGTCGAAAAGCTGTATTATTTTCGGATAGGCAACGCTGCATAGAATTTTCCCAGGGAATTGTATTTTATGCCGATTTTAATGAAATGAATTAGCCGGAGTCCGAACGAACGAGTCGACCCGACGTGCGATTTTCGCTCTCTTGCCGCGGAGGCAAGAAGACGGAATGCACTTCCACTTCGAAAATCGTCCGTACGGAGTCTTCTGCTTGACGGCAACTACGCGAGCGTCCGAGCCGTCGAATGAATCACTTCCTTTTGCACACTCGTCACAGGAAGGCGAGGCGAGGCACAAGGCGAGTTAGGAGAAAGAGGGAAAACAAAAGAGGAGAGGCGCCTGTTGCGCACGGAGCTGACGTACCTCCTCACCTGTTGCTGCAACTCGAATCCTGTAAACGGCTCAGTCCTCCGAGGCCGTTCGCCCTCGCGAATCTTCCTCTCGCACAAGGTGTCGCACTGCGCGCCGTGTGTCCTGCCGTGTAAGCCTGCAAGCTCGTCCAACTTCTGACCCGAGCGCGACGCACAAGAACGCACGCAACGCGCGCCAGCTGAATGACGCTGCCGCCGCGCTCGCAGCCCCCTATATCCACTCTCTCGCGCGCTCTTCTCGCTCGCGACCAACCCCCCGTGAATATAACCGCGCGTCCGCGCGCCCTCTCTCTCTCGCACTCTGACTTCCTCTCTCATGCTCGCGCTCCTTCGGTGCCCTTTTCTAACGATTCGGGGGATCGTATCGCTAGATTGTTATTGAAATTTTAGCCGGCGAGTGACTGCCGGAAGGGACGGCAAACTACTCGATGACCACGGGTGCGGATGCAAAGATTCGGCTCGACTTTGCAGGCATGGAGAAGGTGATTGGCAGTGTTTTTATCTTCTTCTTTCGATTAGCTGCATTTTCAGCGAAGAGCAATTCACTTCGATGACTCATCCAGTGGACGCGTCAACGTTCACTCTTCGATTCGCCTTTGCATTTTAGATTACTGGGCCGAAAAGCGATTTGAGCAGGCTCTCCCTCGCTGTTAATTATTAAGTGCACTTTTTAAAATTGCGAGCGGAAGTGACAGGACGAATCCGAGCTTAACGCCCGGTGACTGTGCATTAACGACGCGATGCAGCGCAAGCAAGAGCCTTGCATTATGAAGCTGGCACTCGCGTTGTCGCGACAGAACGGTCGGATGTGCCTCAGTCGACGGTTTGTGACTTTTTCATGGAATAACTCGAAACGCGCGTGATGCGACGCAGATTTATAAATACGGCTCGCCTTCGTCCTCGCTAACGAGCGATCCGAGGTGCCTTGCAGTCGGTCGCTAATTACTGCCGAGGAAAATAGAGAGAGACAAAAGCGCCACGTTCGAAAATTAATTTGACCGGGGAGCAGTTGGGGAGGGTCGAGGTTTCATTTGCACAAACAAAACTCTTCTCTTCCCTTTCTCAAGGGATCAGACTGACGCCAAATTTATCCTTGAATCGCGCGCGCCACGAACGTTCACAGTGTGATTGGGTAAGACTCGTGGTGGCGATTACTGTCCACGGCCCATCGAAGTATCGTTATTGCCTCGCGCCGTTCTCCTAGCCCTAATTGATCCACACCTTTCCAGTTAAGCTACGATTCTCGATACTTTTTCGTCACGCTCAGGCCTCCCTTCGTCGGCTCACTTTTCTTTGTTCTGTTTTACTAGTTCGCTCGATTTGCGATGAAGGAACGCAGTGGCCTTTTTTTTCTGCTTCACTGCGGCTTTTCACGATGACCAATAGTGATGACAATTTCGCGGAATGAAACTTATTTTACGTATAGTTTGTAAATTGTTTGAACGGACGAAAGCTCGACGAATCTTATAATTACGCACGAGGGAAAGTACGAAAGCTACTCGACGTTCTATTCTAATTGCAGTAAGCCGTTATATTTTTGCATCATCGAAACTTAATATCGAAGAAAACTTTTGCAGCATCCATGCAGCTGCTCGTAAAGCAAAATATTACTGATCGTCAGCCGTCATGAAATAATTATCGGCTCACAAGTCCACGCAGAGGCCACACAAAAGGACTGTGCAATGTTCAAAAGCGCGGTAGAACAATGCCGACTGAATCATTGCGATTCACTTGCTACTTGTTAATTACACGTCGCTTTTACGTGCAATCAAGCTGAGTGCAGCAATTTTGTTTCCCACTGTCCGTTTGATTGTCCGCTTGGTCGAACTTTTAGTTTTTAAATTTTCAAAGTGACGCATGCGGACGCCGCGCTAGTTTAGCAACAGTTTTCAGCGAGAAACTAACAAACGGCTTATCCTCTTTTTGCCAATGCAGATTGAAGTTCGTACTGAGCGATACTCGTTAGTTGGCTGACTGAACTCGGTTTGTACTACTGGCGCGCGCGACTGCCGTCTGAAATTGTGCCGGTATATATGATCCCGCGTACAATAGAAATAGTTTTTGAAGCAAATGTGATCACTATTGAACATCAAATGTGCAAATGCTTGTTACCCAAGTGTGAAATTACAGAGCTTTCAAAAATCATCAACGCTCGAATTGGAATTCAAACTCACTTCGCTCGCGATTTGATAAATTAATCACAATTTTTCGCGCGTCTATCTGCAATCAGTTAATAAGTTGCCCAAGTAAAGGACGCTTTCGTTGGAAGTTTACCTTGTAAATATAAACACGTCGGCCAGTCAATTCGTTGATCAAAACGCAATAAAAGCAATCGAGTGGGATAGGGAAAAACACTCATTGGGCAGAGTCGCTTTGACAGTGAGAAGCAGTTGCAAGCAGAGAGAAGCGAAGCCGATCAAATAGGAGGATAAAAAGAAAGCAAAAAGGAGGAGAGCGTTGGTGTGCTGCACAATAGATTAGGTGTCGCGCCAGGCAATCGAGAGAAAGGGGGTTAGTCGTGCGAGTCCCATCAAGCGTCGGACCAAGTTACATAGGCAGTCAGGTCACGCATTTGATGCCAAAATGAAAAGCAAGAAAAGTTGCGCGTATCGTCTTTATGATCTTCCAATCTCTTCCTCCCCCGACAGGCGCGAGGTCACTTCCTTCGTTTGTCTGCTAGACGAGAGTCCGATAACGCGTGGTACCGACGTCAACGGCGTCGAGTAGCGATGCAATAGCGACAATAGGCGGCCGCCGCCCGATCGATGAGCCGACAGAGAGGCGCGGAGCAGCTGTAAAGTTTGACGACCTTGAGCAGCAGGCTCCAGAGGTTCGGCCCTCGCGCCAGTCCTACGCGTGCTCGCGGACTGTCCGCTGGCCTGCGGATCGTCGAACGTTCCGACGACGCTTCTCGCGCGCGTAATTTCTAAAAGAAAAACGGGCTACGCTCTCGCAACTCGCCCGTGCAAATGTGAAACAATGTCGCAAACACAATGCCAATTTAATTGTCATTCGTACTAAACGTTTCGACGCGTTTTACGCGGCGCGTACGATGACATGCATCTAAATTTGAACGTCAAATTCCAAACCAATGGCTAACGTGAAATTCGCATGTTAATATGTAAACGTTGCCAATGCCAAGCGTGATAATAACGGGCAATATCGAAATACGCCAGGATCGTAATTATTGTTGATCGGATTTTTCGACCGAGGCGAAATATTAATCCATCCGGCGAGTGGCTGATGAACGCCAGCTGCGCGCGACCAGTGAATAAATAATTAATCGAGTGCGTCGATATTGACGCGATCGCTTTGGCAACAGCGCGGCTGCTCAATGGCGCGTCTCCGAAGCGTACAAAGCGCGAGATCGGCATAGCGGCGCGAGGCGCTGCTATGAAAATTTCTAGCGGCCGTTAGTCGCGAGCCAAAGCGCGATTGTACTTTAGTGTTCTCCCAGCGGCGGCCGGGCGGACCGCAAGCTCATCGCCGAGCGCGCGTTCATTAGTCGCGATATGAAAACCGCAGCGCGATGAGGCGCCGCCGCCGCCGCCGCCGCGGGTTATTAAAACATTCGTTCCACGCGTTGGCCGCTTGATTGCCTGCTTCTTGCTCCTCTTATTCTTCATCGATCTTATCAAGCTGCACGGCTAACGCGCCGAGCAAATTGGTTGGTCGCCGTATCACGCCTGTTTTTTACCTAACGTAATAATCATTATTCTCAGCTTTCTTCAGTGTATTTATTACAATATTACATTATTAGCGGAGACAATGTGCTTACGTATCTCAAAAATAAACTATGTACAACTGCGTTCGCTTAACTGTACTGATAATCACAAGTGAAACCTCTCTCTCTCTCTCTCTCTCTCTCTCTCCTTGTCATCGCCTGTCAGCCGATCAATTTTTGCGGGATTCTACGTTTACTGACCTTGAAGATTACGCGTTGTATAAAGAACATCGCGTTGACCGCGCTACGATTCTTTTCGTACAAAGATTTACCGTTGAACTGAAATATCTTAATATTTTCCTGCAATGTGCTGAACGCTCGAAACTCGTTGATCTACCAAAACAGCAGCGACTCGAATAAACGAAAAATGAGGACGGGAGCAATACTCGAGCAATGTTGTCAAACGACTCGACGCGACGTGTAGCGTTATTCGGCAATTATTTCGTAGAGCCTTATCGACGCATTCCTTTCTTGTGATACCAGCTCTTGGCACCTTCGTGCCCGCCTTTCTTGCCGTATTTCTCCTCGTGGTCATATCGGTCGCCGTCGCCTTCCTCCTTGTGATAGCCCTTCTTCGTGTGATGATGGTGTCCCTTCTCGTGGTGACCTTTACGACCGTGATGGGTCTCACCGTGACCCCCGTGATGGCGCGCCTTCTTGTGGTGGTGGCCCTTTTTGCCGTGATTCTCGCGGTGGTAGCCAGCTTGCTTCTCCTCGTCGGCACCCTCGTGGGATTCGTCGTAAAATTCGATTTTCTTCTCGAACATGTCCTTTAATGCGAGTGGAGCCGTTAATTATCGGACCTCCTCAAGGGCGTCATTAAAACAGGGCATTCAAACAAACCTTTTTGTGCACCACGTGTTCGCCTTTGGTGCTGTGTCCCTTGTTGTGCTTGCCCTTCTCGTAGAAGGCTTTCTTCTTTTCGCCCTCCTCGCCGCGCTCGCCTTCCTCTTCATAAGTGCCCACCTCGTGATTCTTCTTTGCCTTGCCGGTCTCTTCCCCGTAATGTTTGTCGTGGTCCTCGTCCACGCGGTGACCCTTCTCGGCGTCCTCGTGCTCGTGATAATTCTTGTAACCCTTTTTCCAGAGCAAAGCATTTTAAATATTGCTTTTCGTTGCCCGAATCGACGTCTACGCAGAGCGAAAGCAAACGAAAAAGCTTAAACGCACCTTGTGCCCCTTATCGCCTTCCTCGTGATGATCTGCTTCGTTGTGCTCTGCCGAGACATTTTCCTCTGTGTCCCCGTCATGCTTGTGCTGTGCCTTGTGTTGGTGATCTCCCTCCGACACGAGATCCTGTACCTCGGCCACGGGAACGATCTGACCGCTGGCCTGCTCGGCGTCCTCCGCTTCGTCGTCTTCCTTCGTCGTTTCCAACGGCTCCTCGTAGCGTTCCACGTGACTGTAACTGTATTCTTGACGATTGTCATCCGTCGCCACATTAGGACCGACGGTCGATGGGACCTCGCTCGACTCGTCGTCGACATCGTCGTCGTCGACGTTGTCGTCGTCAACTTTCTCCACGATGGGCACGTCGCTGTAAACAATCCGTAGATTCGCTGACTCTTCGACCGACGCTCCTCCTTCCGTCGATCGATTATGCTCGGGAGGAACGGCCGTGTGGTAAATCGGCTCGGTTTGACGCGACTGCTGTTGCGTGGTAGTCGGCGGTTGGACCGATGAGGCTGGCCGGGGTCTCCTATTGGGGATCGTGAAGACCGTCGGCGGCGATTGCGTCGTTAACACATCAAGATTCCCGTAGTACGGGATTTCTATCGTTGAAGTATGCCTCGACAACACGTTTGGCTCTGCTCTCGTCGGGACAGCGTCCTAAACCAAACAGTTGGCGTTAGATCGACGGGAATGAGCAGACACCAATCACAAACGGAAAATGAAGTGGCGGATTTACAGAAGTAGTCGGCCGACGGTCGTACTGTCTCGAAGGCAGACTGTGACCCTTCGTGCTGGTAAAGGCGGTCTCGGTGGTGAAGCCAAAGGGCCGTGGTATCCTGTCGTTCAAGATGAACATCAAGCCGGCGGCTTGTTGATCGATAATCTCGTCCTTGCTTTGAGTTCCGGAACGCTGCTGTCTCGTAACGTTGGCGCGTTTTCGATCAGCGGTCGCCGGAGTGTGCAGCTGCGGCTTCGTCGAAGTCGTCGTCGTCGTTGTCGTCGTCGTCGTCGTCGTCGTAGAAGTGGATGCGACGACGCGGCGTCGTCGATTAGGCGTCGATTGATATGCCAAGCTCGTCTCATTCTTCGGGCCGGCATCACGAAGCCTCGTCGATTTCTTCCTTGGAAATTTATAAAACTTGCGATCGGGGAGCGACGGTTGTTGCGCAGTCATTGGTGAAAATGTGCTGGTCCACTCTGAAATGCCGCGCGTCCGGGGACAAATTAATCGACGCCCTCGAGTGGGAATCGCCGTGGCGTGGGTTATTAGCACTCTTACCGAAACTCATTTCCGAGGACTTCCTGAACGCGTCGAGTCGCTGCGGCTCGTACGAGACGATCGAGCGCGCTCCCTGCAAGCTTTCCGCGTGCTGCAGTATATCGTAGTCCTCGGCCGAGAAGACGTACGGGTTCGCCGGGTACGCCGTCGTCGCTGCTCCGACTTCCGCCGGATTATCGTCGGCGTCGAGCTCGCGGTACTGCGCCTTGTACCGATGCGGCCTCGTTCTCGCTTTGCCTGCGCATTGCGAAACCTAATCAGAATTTCACTGCGCTTTATTCAACTGTGTTTTTCCGCCCGGCGCACCGATACCATTATATTGCTTCTTGGAATCGATGACCGCTGCTCTTTCTTATTAATCCGTCTTTAACCACCAAGACACACTTCATTTCGTCGCTTCTTCAAATATTAAATCTCGCGAATTTGTCATTACGCGTTTTACAGTAATACATTTCATTGTGCAGTTTCGACATTTCCGTTCGGCCTGACTGTTGCATCGAGTAAAATGATTATTTATATCTTTGTGAACGAGTTTTCAATTCCAAATGATTTTGAATTTATGATTTTATTTAAAAACGAATATCCAGTCCGTTCAACGAAATAATCAAAGAAAAAAATGATCATCTGCTTATTCATTCATTATATTGCAACGAGTTATATATTCATTTATTATATTGGCGAAAAAGATTAATTTTATGATCTTTATAATTTTTATGATTAGAAATTTAGTGTTGCTGTATACAAATGCCCTTAGATTTATATGTCGAAATCGTAGAATGTGACGAGGACCAGGTTTTTTCAATCAAGGGAAACAAACAAATTGGTTTTGCGACCTTTCATTGGCCATGAAAACATTTTTCATTCGTATCCATATTCGCGATTCAATTGCAATGATAACGTCCATGCATTTGCATACTTGATAAAAATTTTAATAACGTCGCAAAATAATTTGCTCGCCTTTCTTCAGTGAAAAACTCTCTAGCTCTGGTCACATTGCATTTTTTAAGCAAATGTGAATTAAGAGCGGCCAATTGTTATCAAGAAAGTTAGTCGCACAAATCAAAACTTCACTCATCACTTGAACAAGTCACTGCGACAAAAGCGGATAAAAATCGTGCAAAAATGTACCATAAGTATCGATATCACAAAGGCCGTGGCGGCGGTCCTCCAGTCAAAGCCATCCATCACGTCGATAGGCTGACTGACAACTGAGCGTTGAATCGACGGCGTCTCGGCAATTATATCACCTCGATAACAATAAGGCTATTCGCGAATGATATGACGATTTCGCGCAGTCAATCCCCGGATAGGCTTCCTCCTTTCTCGCTGCTGTTGCACAAGGATCCATTTCAAGGATCGTGACAGCTATTCGTCTGCTAACTTTTTCCCGTTGCGCCTCGCTGCACACTTCCGTTGGCCGCTGCTTATGCCGAGATTTCGGACATCGATCAATTATGTCATTATGACAACTGTTACACTACGTTTCCTTTTCTTCGAGTTTTCTTTTTTCTTTTTTTTTTTGCAGAGGATCCTACATTTTGTTTCCGCGCTTCTATGCCGACGCAAAGATTCGTACATATCTTTTATATTTGTATTCTAATAACTGTCTCTCTCGTGCGTTACGTACAAAATAATAATTAACGAAAAGCGACCTTCGTTATTATCCTCATTATTCAATATATTAAGAAAGTTGCCAATTGACGATCCCTCGGACTCAACTTTTAGGAATCACTTCCAACTTTTGCCGAACTCTATACAAACTTTTTTCATCGGCGCAATCTTACTGGGATTTGTTAGCAATAAGTTATAACTGACTTCTGAAGGACTTCTTTTTCATTGCAGCTGTTTTTTTCTTTGCTCGAGTGTTAATTGATCCGAGAGGTGAATATAACGGATGCACGCGACAGAATCCTAAATGAATTGCCGATCCAGTCTAATTAACGCACATACATTTTATTTTAAACTTACAAATTATAAAGAACAGTACTTTAATTAGCTATTTCAGTACTTGTCGCAGAAGATTCAATGAAATATACATGTGATTGTAAGTGAAAAAGGATATATCGTGAAATTTTTTTTTTATTTTTTGGTATTGGAAAAACATGCAAAATTTACATGATCTTTATATCTACATATAACTGCATATTTGTGTCGATACTTCATCTAAATATTTCATTATTTACGAATAGAATAAGATTAATGTAATACAGATTTCAGCCAATCCGACACGTACACAGACAATCGCAGGCACACTGCGTAGCTCAGAGGTTTAACGGAGTGTAACCAATTTCACAGCCACTGTTTTCACTTTCGAAGCGGACGTTTCTCACGATGCTACTGTCGCGATGCTATATATCCGAAGGCAGTTATTGCGATTCCGACCGCGATATAATTGGAATTGAGTGTCGACATCGCGAACGCTCGCGTTGCGAAACGTAACGTTGCAAATGTCGTTGTATCAAAAGAAATTTGTCCGAGACTCTTAATGGCTTTACGCGTCTCGGTCGCTCTTGGTTCGTCAGTCTCCGGTTAAACGCGCTATCGTACGAATGACTTTTCTCCCGGCGGAATTGCAAAAATAACGTTTATAAAAAATCGCGATCAATGTTTGTGGGACCATATTTTTCCATCGGAATTGCCGCCCTTTTTAACGAATTTATCGTCGTGATGACTCTGATGGTCTTGGGCTTCATTCTCCTCGTGGCCGTCCTGCTTACGATGATGGCGCTCGTGATGATGTTTCTCGTGTTCTCCTCCTTTGGCCTAGAGTAGACAGGGACGGTGCAATAAATAGAATAGAGCAATAAAATTTCGCAGGGCATACCTCGTGCTCTTCGCCACCACCGTGGCCAGAATCGCGATGACCACCGCCGTGGGCACCGTGGTGACGATGATGATCGCTGTGTTTCTCGTGCTCGCCGTCTTCGTGAAACTCGTCGTAAAACTGATCCTTCTTTTCGTACTCGTCCTGCGAAAGGAAAAAAATGCGAGAATGAACTCGGTGCGCGCTTGGTGATGCCACAGAAGACGCACTTTCTTGAAGATATTGTGCTCGCCCTTGGTACTGTGACCCTTTTGATGCTTTCCCTCCTCTCCGAACTCGACGGACTTCTCGTCCTTCTCGTCCCTGCGATGATCAACGTAATGATCCTCGTCGTGGTGCTTCGAACCTTCGTCGCCGTTCGCTTCCTTGAAATGCTGCTCATCTCGGTCCTTCTTCAGATGCTTGTCGTCTTTTTTCTCGTGCTCCTCGTAATCTTTGTAGCCCTGTGATACGTGACCGTTACTAGTATTTAAATGCGCTCGAACGACTCGCTGAGACTCGACTGAGCAGAGAGCATTACGGGTAACGTACTTCGTGGCCTTTTTTGCCTCGGTCTTCGTGATATTCGCTGTCATGCTCGGAGTGCTCGTTGTCCACGTGCTCTTCTTCTCTAGGATGCTCCTCTTCTGCAGAGTGGTGCTGCTCGTCTGTGTGAACAAGACGGTTTTCCTTTCGTATTATCGAATTGTGAATTCACGTAAAAAATAAGTATCTTGTTAGAAGGGATATACCCGCTACGCCGATGTTACTTACGAGTACAATGTTTATCAAGGTCGCTCGAAAACTACACAACTACGAAGTAGTAGAGTACCGCGAAATGGAAAGTAAATAGCAGTTTAAGCTCGTGAAATATTCATCCTGACCTTTCGCAGCAGTAGCCGAAGTCTCCTGATCGGCCATGGCGTATCTAAACCTAAGTGGCCGACTGAGATACTTCCTGACACCGGCGTCGCACCCCGCCACCATGAAACTCGCGACGACGAGTAACGAGCAGATCCTCCTCATCCTCTTCTCCGAACCGTACGGGCGTATATGTCTTCGAAGCGACGGTTTCACCAGTCGAGCAACGACTAAAGCGCTGCTGCGTCGCTTGGTCGTTAACCGGAAGATGACCGCGATGCGCCTTTTTCTCTCGCTGGCTTTGCGATGACACGCGGCTTTCGCTCGCTTTCGTTGCTCTTCCGATGCGAATCGATAACGACGTCGTTTCTCTCGCTGCCAAGCCAGATCGTAATTCAATTAAACAAAGTATCCTTATTTTTCAGCGGCCGACGCCGTTGCGAGACGACGGCTTTCGCGCGGAGCTTTTACCTCGCCGCCGCGGCGCCTGTTGGTAGGTCGATGACGTCAACGGGCATAATGGCCTTACACCCGTGCACGCGCGACTTTATTAAAAGCAAACAACAATCGCTTCGATACGTTGAGTAATGCCACCTGATCTTATTAGTGCGCTGAAAACCCGCCTCGAAACGTGCTCTTTCTTGCGCGCTTAAGCATTCGCACTTCCGCGAATGCTGAAATGACGCGCCGATGATTTGCTTGACGAAACAAGCGCCGCGCGGAATCTTCGGAAGCTCCGCAGATATTTATCCTGGCAGCGCTTTATTTTCATACGGTCGACTCGACCAATCGGATTACTTGCTTACGTAAAAAGTGCTCGGACTGCACTGTCCGAATACTCCGATACGTAATTCGCATTGCAAGCTTGAGGGTCAGTTACGTGCCGTCTGCGATAACCATTTAAATACGACGGAATCCCTCATGAATACTCACTCTTACTGCGCTAATTACGTTTCCTCAAAGAATCGCCGACTCCGCATCCACCCGCGGGCAAACGCTTGAAGATTGTGTGTTGGTCTAAATAAACCGATTAAAATCGCGATCAGAGCACAGACCACGCAAACGGATAATTGCATTAAAATTTCCAGACGAAGCAAGAAAGCGAGACTGTGGCTAATAAAAAAAAAATAAAAAGAAAAAAAAAAGTAATGAGAAGCCGACGGAACTGCTGTCTCAGCGCTCGATCGTAGCAACTGTGGCGTGAATCTTTCGATAACTTGGCGAACGGACACGCATTTGACGCTGTCGCTCGACGAGTTCCACCGCTTGGTTGTTGCTCGCCTCGCACCCAATAACTCGCTCCTCGTTACGAGAGCTCGTCGAGCGAAAACTATCAAATTACACTCAATCAATTAGACGTGCGAGCGAAAAACAAGAGGAGACGAGAAAAAAAAAATATGATTCGACATGGCTGTGTGTTCGGAGGGTGGTAAATCCGATCGGGGTGTTTATTCACGTGCGGAGGAGAAACGTGCATGCGACGACATCGGGGCGAAGATCGCTCGGGTATGTCGACCGACATTGACGCAACCGCGAGCCAAAGCGGCGCTCACGCGCGCCAGCCTTAACGAGATACGGAGAGGTGCGGAGCGGTGATCGCTGGCAAGTAAGCGTATCAGCCACGCGACTGTACGCTGTAAAACGAAGAAAAGGTGTAAAGAGAGAGAGAGAGAGAGAGAGAGAGAGAGAGAGAGAGAGAGAGAGAGAGAGAGACGGAGAAAAGGAGGGCGCTTGCGCGAGACGCAGCGCAAGCCTACACGCGTATACCTGTGAACTCAATAGGGTCTCGGCCATGTCCGGCATAATTCAATTGTAAAGCTTCGGCCGAGAGCACGCATATATAAGGGGCGACATGTCGCGCGCCGCGCTTCTCTCTTGCCGCTCTTTTTATCGCGCCCGATGTGCTCGCCGCGAGAGTGACAGCGGAGAAAAAAAAAAAAAAAAAATGGTGAACGACAAGGAGCTGGAAGCCGCCGACGCCGCGAGACACCGGCATGCCGATTATTCTTTTCGACTTCCCAGAGCCTTGAGTATCGAGGAGAAGAGGTACTTGTTGTCTGTGGAACGTGGCGATCTGACAAACGTCAGGCGCATGCTGCTCGCCGCTGGCAAGCAATCGGTACGACTCATTCACCTTTTGTTTATCAATCGTCTTCGAAATCATTATTCTTTATTTCTTTTTCCTTTCACTAGCGAGTGTTCGGTATTTAATGTTAAATGTCTATGTACATATGCGCGTTGTATTGGGAAAAGAATGTGTGTCATCGGCGTGTGTGGATGTTGGATGTCAACTTGCTCTCCCCCACGTGTACACAATAATGACACGTGCGCACGCTATGGGTATGCCAGGAGGGTGGGGAGAGCGCTGAAAAAATATAACATGACTCGGCCAAAGTGGTAATTATGATAATTAAAAGTACAAGGATGCAACCCGGTCGATCATAATCGATGAGTTTTCAACTATGAGTTTGCTCGTGAATTCGCATTAGAATAAAGCCCAAAGAATTATCGAGAGGCTTTGACGAATAATTTGAATAATGTCTTTGCTCGTATTAATTACGCCAACGGTTTTCACCTAGGCCAATTACGATGATTGTTGGCGAGAGACAGCCTTGGAATTTTGAGCGAGCGAGGAATGTTACAACGATGCCCACTGGATGACATTTAATTTGTCCGAGTAACTGTATTAGCCAGCTAGAAGCTTATCGTCCGGAAGGGGCCAAACTTTCGGCGCACGAAATTAGATTGTCCTTCTCGTTAATAAATATTTGTTTTGGCTCTCACTAATCGAAGGACGTAAGCTTCGAAAAGTAGGTTTTTCATGGCTCGCAAACAAGTGCGCTTCGTCTCTCGAGTGGCGCGCGAACGTTGCGCCGTGGAAAGGCCGGAGAATCCTTTGTTTCGCGTAAAAGCCTGGCACTTCGGCGAAGCTGCGCGCATGAAATCCAGTACGTTGCGGCGGGCACAGCCCGATTGCGTTTACAAGCGGGCGCGCGCTGCATTCGAGAAGCTTACGCGAGTCAATCCAATTTGCAAAGGCCAAACAGGCGGCGCAAGAGCACAAGCTCGACGTGAACTGCGTGGACAGCTTGGGCCGCGGGGCCTTGACTCTGGCGATCGAGTCGGAGAATCTGGAGATGCTGGAGCTGCTGGTGGTGATGGGCGTCGACACGAAGGATGCGCTCCTGCACGCCATCAATCAGGAGTTCGTCGAGGCCGTCGAACTGCTGCTCGAGCACGAGGAACTGTTGCGCAACAGCGAGATCGAGGCGGCGGCCGCTGGAAAGCGTGAGTTTAACGCTTTGCCTCTGCTTTTTGCCGACGTCCTCGTCCCGTCGCACTTCGCCCCGCGCGGATTATTTCTGCCCGGCGGAATTTTAATCGGTCTCGATGTCAATTCTAGCTCTGCGCGGCGTATCGCGTCGATACCGCTATCCTCGTCGCCGCACGCGCTTTTCCTCTCGGAAAGTTGTCGTCGCACTTGCTCGAGTTGACAAATTCAAAGTAGGAATTGCCGCTGAATTGCATTCATTCGGCATTACTGCCATTGCGCGATTGCACCATTGCCGTTATCCAATGATTCATCGACGAGGCTGCGAATGATCGAAGCCGCGACGAATGTCCGAGTCGCAAGGAAAAGTCGGAAGATTCGGTGATTGCGCAAACGATTGGAAAACGCGGCGAGCGCGATCCGCGCGATCCCCGCGCGGGAGCCCATCGAGAAAGCGTAAAGCAGAGAAAGGCGTCTGCGTTCGTGTCCGGCAGTGGGCGACAAGGAAGTGGTGCACAGCTGGCAGAAGGTGGACTCGGCGCTGGCGCGCTACCCACCGGACACGACGCCGCTCATCTTGGCGGCGCAGCGCAACAACTACGAGATACTGAAGCTGCTGCTCGACCGCGGCGCGACGCTGCCGATGCCCCACGACATCAAGTGCGGCTGCGACGACTGCCTGCGAGCCGGCCAAGGTACGCGCGCCTCGCGGCGTCGAGCGGCCGGGCGCAGCGCCACGGTGCGCCCAACTCGGCCTCGAATTTGCAGGCGACCCGCTGAGACTGTCGAGCACGCGGATCGCCGAGTACCAGGCGCTGGCGAGCCCGAGCTTGATAGCCCTCAGCTCGCCGGACCCCCTCATGACGGCCTTCCAGCTGAGCTGGGAGCTGCGGGAGCTGGCCCAGGCCGAGCCCGAGAGCCGCGAGGAGTACGAGGCGCTGCGCCTGCAGGTCGAGAGGTTCGCGGTGGACCTGCTGCAGCAGACGCGCAGCTCGTCCGAGCTCAACACCATCCTCAATTACGACCCGGACGACCACTCGGACGAGCCCAGCAAGCACCTCGCCAGGCTCGAGCAGGCGATCCAGTACCGGCAGAAGACCTTCGTCGCGCACCCGCACGTGCAGCAGCTGCTCGCCTCCATATGGTAGACGGCCGACGAGCCGCGCTCGAGCGTTCCCGGCGCGTTCTTCGCTTTTTCACACCACGTTGCGCGCAGGTACGACGGGGTGCCGGGCTTCCGTCGGATGAGCCTCGTGCGCCAAGTCTGGATACTGGTCAAGACGGCGCTGCTGTTCCCACTCTACTGCGCCATTTACTTCTTCGCGCCCGATTCGGGGATCGGCCAGACGATGCGCCGACCCTTCATGAAGTTTCTCATTCACGCCTCCTCGTATCTGTTCTTCCTATGTACGTGAGAGAGGGAGAGGAGCTCGCCGTTCGACACTGACGAGCCGTGTCTCGTTCGTCGACAGGGGTGCTGATCCTGGTGTCGCAGCGCTTCGAGGACGAGCTGGTCGACTGGTTCGGCAGCGCGGAGAGCGTCGCGGACAGGCAGGTCCGGCAGCGGGGACTCGGCCCGTCGTGCCTCGAGGTCGTGGTGGTGGTCTACGTGGTGGGCTTCATCCTCGAGGAGATGCGCGAGGTGAGCGCGACGCGGCCGGCCGCGGCGGAGTCTCACGATCGCGGCTGACTGTCGCCTGCGCAGATCTACGTGGACGGGCTGCGCTCGTACCTGCGCAACCTGTGGAACTTCATCGACTTCACGCGCAACAGCCTGTACGTGGCCGTGGCGATCCTGCGCGTGGCCGCTTACTTCCAGCAGATGTCCGAGATCGACGGCGACCCGCAGGCGGCGACGGTCCCCCGGGAGAGCTGGCCCGACTTCGATCCGCAACTCATCGCCGAGGGCCTATTCGCCGCCGCCAATATCTTCAGCGCGCTCAAGCTCGTGCACTTGTTCAGCATCAATCCGCATCTCGGGCCCTTGCAGGTGCGCCCTTACTTCCCCTCGAACGCTGTTTTTCGCTTTTGAGAAGCGAACGACGTTCGCTCTCGAGTGAAATTGCAGATCTCGCTGGGTCGCATGGTGATCGACATCGTCAAGTTCTTCTTCATCTACACCCTGGTGCTGTTCGCGTTCGCCTGCGGCTTGAACCAATTACTCTGGTACTTCGCCGAGCTGGAGCGCAAAAAGTGCTTCGAAGGCGAGGACGGCGCGCAGGAAGCTTGCGCGCGATGGCGCAGGTGAGCGAGCGACGCTATTAAACTTACCAGCCCCGCCCTCCCGCGAGAGTTGACGCGCGATGTACCTTTACGTAAATTAGCCGCGAACGAGAGTGACGGGGAGATGGGGGGAGCGCGCTAGAAATTCATTTTCATTGGCTTATTTCAGGTTCAGCAGTCTCTTCGAGACAGTGCAGAGCTTATTTTGGGCGAGTTTCGGCGGCATCGGCATCGATACTTTCGAGTTGACCGGTACTGACCTAATATCGTTTCTTTTTCTTGCCGCGCTTTCTGCGAAACGAAAAACTAAATCTGAGTCATTCAGGTATCAAAAGTTATACGCGATTCTGGGGCCTGCTGATGTTCGGCTCGTACTCGGTAATCAACGTGATCGTTTTGCTGAACCTCCTGATCGCCATGATGAGTAACAGCTACTCCATCATCGAGGTAAGAGCCTCGCGTGTCTACGTCGACGACGACACCGCTCCTCCCTGTGCAAAAACTACCACTGCTCGCAGGAACACGCGGACACCGAGTGGAAGTTTGCTCGGACGAAACTGTGGATGAGCTATTTCGAGGAGGGCGGCACCCTCCCACCGCCGTTCAACGTGCTGCCCCATCCCAAGCTGTTCTTGCGACTGTGCGGCATTCAGCGCAAGAGCATGGCCAAACGCTCGAGCATACGGAGGCGCGCGCGCGAGCACAAGTGAGTTATTCGCGCAATTTTCACGTAGTTGAGGGGAAAAAGGTGCCGGAAGAATCGGAACTGGAGCGTGTCGCGAATCAAGCTCGAGTTTCAGTAATCTGCATCTGAAATTTAATCAAACTTGGCAAAGTCGACGCGGCGGGAATTCATGCGCTCGTTCGAATAAACGCGGATTCTACACAGGTACGGGGCCGTCATGAAGGCTCTGATCTGGCGCTACGTGGTGAACGCTCACTCGGAGCACGAGATGGAGCCGGTGACCGAGGATCACATTCACGAGCTCAAGTCCGACGTATCGTCGTGGCGCTGCGAGCTCCTCGACATTCTCAAGCGCAACGGCATGGACACCAACGGCGCCGACACCACCGAACGCAGTACGTACACGTCGCTCGGTCTCTGTCTCGAGGCGAATCGTAACGCCAAGTCGCGCCTGTCGCAGCTGTGCCGGGCAAGAAGATGCGCGTCTGGGAGCGCAGGCTGATGAAGGACTTTCAAGTGGCCTCTCCCGCCGAGGACTCCGGCGAGGAGATCAGCCGGCTCGCCCAGGTACCGGAGAACGAGGATCTCTCCGAAAAGTGGAAGAGGGTTGCTAAACTGGCTGTGCTCAAGTCGGCGGAGAGCCGATGGTCGCAAGTATGACTTTTTACGGGTACACTCTGTACTAGCGGCCACTTCGAGTCATCGTCGAACTGGTCGAATGCAAGCAAAGACTCGGTGCACTGTGGCTTTTCATCGTTAGCGTTTCGTAATCTCGTTGACCTCGATCGCGCTCGATCGGACAATGTAATTCCATTTAGGCAAACTAACGGCGCGGCTTCTCGCGAGCATACGGTTCAATTCCATTTTCCTGCCAATCGGAAGTACCGAATTTCACGCGAACACGCTGACGCTCCGTTGGCGAGTTTGCGTTGCTTCACCAACGCGAAAATCGTTGCAGATGATCGACAACTCGGTGCAAAAGTCGCAGATCGGCCGGGGCAACGACCGAGTGTCGCTGAAGAACAAGGAAAACCTGCGACACGTGATGGAGGAGGCGCGACGGCTGTCGCGGGCGAGTCCGCTGCCGTCGCTCTCGCCCATTCGTCTGCCCGAGACCAGCGACCCCGATAGCGTACTCAAGGTTCTGAAGAGCAGCGACTTCGAGGGAGCATCGGGCTTGAGCTCGACGTCACCCGCGAGAAGTGATTACTCGAAGGTTCGTCGATGAGAAACCTTCCGACCGAATCAACTTCGGCTATTATGCTAATGATTATATGCAATTTGATTCGCAGATGAACGACTCAGCGGTGAACTACATCGACGAGCGCTACCAGACAAAGGCAGGCCAGTTGATACCCGCGCGAACGTCGCCCCCGCGAGTGATAAAGCGCAAGCCGAACGCTCCGACGGCGCCAGACGCTGCACGTCCCAAGAGTCCGATCAATCGCGAGATACTCTCGGTGGACAATCTTCGAGTTCCAGGCGTAAGCGGCAGCAACATCGCGAGGCCAAGACCAAGGAGTCCTAAAAATATTCCCGAGTTGGCGATTATACCCAATACACCGGAGAAACCGAGGTACGCGAGAGTTGACGGTAGATCGCCTCGTGTATCGCCTAGAAAGTCGCCCAGGAAAGGTTGGCTGTGAGGTGATCATTTTGAAATACTGACTTGGAAATTTAAATGCAATATTTTCTATAAATTTCACTGATTTCTTAAAGGCTTTTCAAACCAAATGCATAGAATAAGATAACTCGAGTTACGATATTATTATAGACATAGCTAAGTACAAAAGAGCTCCAAAAATAATTTATTACCTATAAACGTAAATATACGTACGCCTTAAGCTAATGTAATTGTTAACTTCATTGCTATAAAACAATTGCTTTCGTATCGATGATGAAGTCATCGATGTTTTGTTAAAAAAGAATGATAACGGAAACTTGTAAATAAAAATTCGTAACTGTGTACATATATAATATTTATTTACTTAACTACAAATACATGCAACCTTATTATCGTATTTTCAAAAAAACAATCTCTCTTCAAAGTCAGCGCTTTAAGCGAATCTTTAAACGCAATGGTACAATTCCAAATGAATTTTGTGTGCCCAGTAGTTCTGTTTATAGGTTCATCGTGTCGTAAAGCGCAACAATGCAATTTGCGAAATGATTTATCGTGTACCGTGGCATTCTCGAAGGTCCGTGGAAGCGACACATACATCTGCATTCAAAGTCTCCCGCCAACGGTACCTGCGAGCGGCGCGGCTGAGTTATCGCTCGGTTGAAATATAAACCGTATTGAGCGGCTTAATCGCTGGAATGGGTGCGCTGCGCACTCATTCCAACGATTAGGCTGCTTGCACTACTTTGTTCTGAGCAGTTTTTTGAGCAGAATTTATTTTGTCGCCAAGCGACAGTGCCATGCCTTGACTCTTAGCACGAATACGAATGTGACCGACAACTGGGGCATCTGGTTTATTCAATGGCTTCTCGATCGACAAATTTGCCAATGCATCTTCTCCAAATATTGATTTGGCATACATGTTTGCAGCCATAAATCCACATTGTCCAGAAAGGGCCTGGAAATTAAAAAAAATTTATAATTAAAAAAATACATTTCACAATTACATTAATAATACACAATTTATTGACAAAATTACCTTTTCTGGAGTAAGGCATCGCATATTCGTGGATTTTAGTAGATGAGCAAGATATTCTCTAAGATCTGATAAAGTAGTATTTACTGAAACTTTGTTCTCCCATTCAAATTCAGCCCACATTTGTCTGAATTCAGCATCAGTACAAGTTGCTGGCACAATATAATCCATGATGTCGATATGAATATCATTGAGAACAACGACACTTCTGTCAGATGCAGCTCCATGAATGTCGTACACTAGTAAACGAAATGAAACCTTAGAGCTTGTAGATCTTAATCTTGTATAAATCACTTAAAACGCAAACTATATTTACCAATATTGCCGAAAATAATGCCATTCTCCGTGGACGCAACTTTGACATTGGCCTTGATGCTAGCGAAGTCCCTTGGCGCTAAAACAATTGGCTGTGGCCTCTCGACGAGTTTCAAGTCACCCATTGTAGCCAACTCAAGTGTACAATTCTGTAACGTATCCTCCGTCTGGTTGACTATAAGCACGTCAAGTACTATGTCATACTGATTGACGTGAACAAGGGCCTCGGCGTAAACAGGGTCGGAGAAACCAGTGAGTTGAGTGACCTTGCTCAGGGCATTTGGCGTTGGCGTATCTTTTTCACCACCTGGTCTACCAGCAACTGCAGCGCTCAAGCTCTGCTCGAACACGTCGTTGACTCCGTTTGTTAGGTCTGAACCAGTGGTTAATTGTAAGAAATGGATTGCATCGTCTACTTGTACGACGTTGCCTGGCTTTTCTTTTGCCTGTAAAATTGAAATGTCTCTTCAAAAAAACAAATAATACTCAAAATTAAAAAATTAGTGCCATGTACAACAAGCTAGTAAAATAACCTATGAGCAACAATTGCGTGATTTTCTTCAAGAAAAACAAAACGATACCTTTTGATTTTGCAAATCCTCTTCCGCTTTAGCAGCGAGCATCTTGCCTAAGGCATCTCTGCATCCCTCCGTGAAAACTTTTTGAACAAACGGTGTCGGACAAGCCAACGATCGGAGACATAGTAAAATTCTCTCGGTATCGTCATGCGTCATAGCCTTGGTTGGAAGTCCTGACCGACCAAGTTGCAGTAAGCTTGACATAATGAGCATAGATTCGGCTTGCATTCTCTTGCTCTTTTTGGAGTCTTTCTCAAGCTCTTTGTAGCGAAGTGCCAATTTCGCCAAAGTTGTTGCCAGTGCTGCTGAAATGAAAAAATCTCCGTCCATCATGTATTGCACGAGAGCGGGGCGCTTCTCTTCTTTCTTTCCTGCAATAGCAATATTTGCAACAATTAAAATCTCGAAAATAGTTGATGTGAGACATAATTGGATACGTAAATAACTTTAATTACCTGTTGAAGTAGTGCTGAAAGCACTTTGCGATGCATATGTTCCATCAGGAGTAACCAACTGAGCTGGTGTAGATTGCGTGCTACCCTCTTCTTCTTCTGGAGGTTTATCGCCAGCTTGTCTCTTGTTTTCAGCCTCTACAAGAGGTAATTCACCCATAACAGACCTCACACGAACCATCACTGTTTCAATGTCTTCCTTGGAAGTAGCATACTCGCCGAGTATCCATAAAGCTCCTCGATGAATGTTAACCGAGCGAATTTGTGGAAATACCTAAAAAATGTACTAACATTTATTGTATGAAAGCAATTTTTTAGTCAGAGTAAATGTAACCTGATAATAATATACCTCAAGAAGTTTTTCAATAATGAGTGGTCTCAAATTATCAAATCTTTGGATGGCCTCGCGAATAAACACAAGAACATCATTTGCGGCTGCTTCACTGTTCTCGGATAGGAAGTCTGTTAATACTGGAATAACTGCCGCCGCTACATCAGGGAATTTGATTGAGCAAGAGTGCAATGTTCTAACGAGAAGTTGCCTGTACTTTGCAGCATCTTCTTGTTCTCCTCCAGCTGTCCTTATGATTTCTTTCTTCAATAACTGTACCATCTCATCAATAGTTCTCGTTGTTACTAAATCCATCGCTAAAGCGAGGGTTTTCGTCCTGACTTCCAAAGCTGGCGATCCTATAAGTAAACAATTAAAAATGTAACTACTTCATTGTGTTCAATTAATTTCCAACAGTATTTTATTTACCCAAAACACGCAAAATATCCATAACAAGATCTTGAAGAACTCTTTCATGATTAGGACTGTCCTTCATAGACACCAACCTATCCAGAACAATTAACTTTACATTGTTGTCACTTTCCTTTACAACTAGTTCAATATAACAAGATGCAGCAGCTTTAATAGCAGTTGGAGCACTCGAAAGTGTTACCAATGTACCAGCTGCTTCATATCGAACTGCAGCACTTGGTGAGTTGAGTAAGCTATAAATACATCTTATGAACCGAGCACGCTCTGATGGATTAGCAAGACAAACCTGGACAACAGTCACACATTAATTAATTTAAAGGTTTTTGAAGATATTAAAACAGGCTTATACTTTATTTACCTTGTAGATAAGCTCAACAATAACAAGTTGCAATATGTCCCCAAAAGATGGTACTTGATCCAAGCATGCAGATAAATATGATAGAGCTTTACTTTGGTCAGCATGCAACAGCATGAGAAAAGCATTTCTTCTGCATGACATGTCTTGTTCACTCTCCAAATAGTTGGCAATTGTATCTGGTGCATCAGGAATGAGGAACTCAAAGTTGCGATAGATTGTAAATATAGCTAGGACAGCATTACGCCTTACATAAGAATGCCTGTGTTCCAAGCAAGCAGTTATGGCAGGCATAAGTGGCTCTAAGAGTTCAGGCTCTTTTAATTTACATAAAAACCTGATGAAAAAGACACATATATTTATATCAACTTTCCCTGACCAATGCAAACAATAAACCAAGTCCTACCTCAGAGTAGAACCCCTGACAAACTCATTAGGATGCTGCAGATCTTTTCTGTAAGCATCGCACACCAAAATCATTTCTTGTAGGAGCTTGCCATCAGGAGTAGTCTTTGGCACAATCTCCCAAAAGATGAGTAAAAGCTTCTTGATGGTATGATCCTGCAGCGGCAAAACAAACCTGATGATGGTCATGAGAAGACCAGGCAGTCTCTCACCACTGAGAATCATGTTAATGGTCTTCTTGAGTGCCTCAATCTTTGTATTGACGTCACCTTTTTCCAAATCCTGCTTTAATTGAAGCTCGTTTAGAGTCTCCGTGTCCGTGGGGAGGTTGATGATGGTGTAGCATGGTTGGTCTGCTACGCTAGTCATCTTGCCGAGGTTCTCAACACTCACTGATCAGCTTAAATCTTGCTAGGAAAAACGAATATCGGAAGTTTTATTGCGTGGCCGTATGTATCATAATATTGATAAGGAGAAAGGGACCACCAACACAGCAAGTAGTGGGTGGCAAGGTTATGTGGCAAGATAGATAAGCAGCTGTCGTGGTAATACAATTGTTGGCACTGAGGGACGAAGAACGAATTGCCTGGACATACCTGATAATTACAATGCGGCTAAGAATTCGGGAGCCGAGGTACCACAGGTAATTGACATTTATAATTTTGGAACAAGGAAAACGGCATACGTGTCAAACTCTGCCGTTTACTAGCTGCCTGTCGCGGCACTCGCGGCGATGCGCGCATTGCACGGCGATGCGATGATCCAAGAGTGCTCAGATGGCGCACTTGCGCTCATTTTCTTTCTTTCTCTGTCTAATCAGATGACAACACGTTTACTTAACCTCACAATCACAAACGAACCAGATATGAAAAGTGTGAGATCGTGACAACGGCACAAGTTACCATCGATTTGCATTAAATAATATGAATTTATTGTTAATCGAAAGCTTTTTCTAAAGAAACAAGTCAATTTAGGTTTAAGTATTTAAGATGTCTTTAATTTACAAAACCGTGTTGGTGTTTTTGTCTTTATCACCGTTCGTATCAGCTGTACGTATTAATAACTTAAACAATATCCACGTAATAGAATATAACTTGCATGATTTTTTTTTGTATTTAAAAATGAATTGAACTTTTTTAGGGTGAATTAGATTATGATGGTTGGCTGCAGGTGAGATTATGGCATTCCTTTGATGATAGCCCGGTACCTCATTATACAGAAAGAGGAAATGTTACAATTTCCAGCATCAGAAGTGGAGCTGCTATAGTTGTTCAACCAGCAAATAGTAAAGCAAATATTGACAAGTTAATCAACCTTGCTGAGCATGGTGGTAAATACAGATTGAAGGCAGTTGTACGCACTTCATCTGGAAGTGAAACTACCTTCCTCTCCTCTGTTTTAGCAGTAATTTATTGCCTTATGTTTTCTTTGTAAATGTAATTTTATTGTTTCTATATTGATTTTCATTTGTGTATTTTCAGTGTCATTTATTAGGTTCTAATTTGCAAGATAAACTATATATATGGATTGATAGCTCAGCCGAGCCAGTAGCAGTGAATTTAGTATCAAAAGGTCCATGTTCTGTGGAAAGTCCAATGACTCAAATGTGGACTACAGATACTAAAGTTCAGTATCCGGATGGTGGACCTGTACCTGATACTGCCACATACATTCAAAAACTGGAAAGAGAAAAGCAGGCTAGGGAAAGTGGAGAAGTCAAGGATAACAGATCTTTCTTTGCTAAATATGTAAGCAAAAATAAACTTTCCCGAAAGAAAGCTTTTATTTTCTAGAGAATTTCATTTAATTTGCTATGATTTTTTTAGTGGATGTACATTGTACCAGCTATTATATTCTTTGCGTTGACATCGGCGACAAACCCTGACGGTCCTGGTGGTGGCGGTGGTCAGCGTCAGTAACTACCTCATGTTTATTTCTACGTGCACCACTTTTTTATCTTCTTGTCAAAGACGACCGATTATGGAACGTTAAATCGTGTGGAAAAATTCATAAATTTCCAATTGATCACATCAACTGTACTTGCGTTTCATCCAAAGCGATATCATGTAAATTTAATTGTTCCAATAAAAAAAACTATTAAAAACCGTAATTAGCCTACGCCGAATTATTTACCGTAGACTACCGGATATGTAGAGCAAAGTAAAAGTTTACTCTTGAAAGTTAAAACGAGCCTCGCCTGCGCGTGTACGGATCGATAATTGCACGTCGCGCACAGCTGGCAGGTGGTTGTCGTTAGGCGAGGGTGGTGTATTATAGCAACAGTAGCAATCATGGCGACGTTCTCGTTGAACCTGCAGCGTCGCGTGGAGCCGGGTTTAACGGCTTGCGGCAAGTTTGACGGTTCGCACGCCTGCCTCGCGGCTGCAACCTCTGCCGGAAATGTCCTGGTGCACAGTCCGCATCGCGACGCCGCCGCTAATCCGAGCCAATCTTTCGGTGAGGAGACAAGGCTGTCCTGGGTCGGAGAACTCGCGGAGCTACAGATCGGCCGACAGGTTTGTTGCGATATCGCGTAATCCCGAGAGTTTTCGCGAGAATCTGCGAGCAGCACAGCATCTTTTGCTATTTCTCTTGATGGCAATTAATGCCAGGTGACGTACGCGCAGAAAACTTGTTCGTTCACTAGACATGTCGACAGCGTCGCGGAGTCATAAGCATTAACAAAACAATTGACGCAAAAGGTGACAGCACTGTGCACGGGGCGTCTAGGCGAAGACGAGCGAGACGTTCTCCTGGTGGGCACGGCCACTCACGTGCTCGCGTACCACGTAGAGGATAACGCCGATCTGTTCTACAAAGAGCTGGCCGACGGCGCGTTTTGCATCGCCGTGGGAAAGCTGGGCTGGCTGCCCAACCAAGTAGCCGTGATCGGTGGGAACTGCTCCATCACCGTGTTGGACTATCAGGGCGAAGAGGTGTTCTGGACGGTGTCCAGGGACAGAGTCAGCGCTCTGGCGCTTTTTGACTTTAACGGCGACGGCGACGACGAGGTAAGCGCGACGCGCTGTCGCACGATCGATCGCTCGTCGTGGCTAACGCCTGCGGCGTGAAGCTGTTGTCAGGCACGTCGGACTTCGGCATAAAGGTACAGAGGCAGGACGCGGTGCTGTGGGAAACGATGGAGAACGCATCGGTGGTCCAGCTGCTCGCACTGGCGCAGCGCCAGTTCGCCTACGCGACTCGCCTAGATGGAAACGGTACCGTGGGCGTGTACGACTCCGGGCACATACTCTGGCGAATCAAGGTGAGCTGCGGTTGCTCGCGTTTCACTGCAGCGTCCTGACAGCGGCACACGCAAAACTTGCAGTCGAAGCACAGGGTGATCTCGCTGCGAGCTTTCGACTTGAACGGCAACGGCGCGATGGAGCTTGTGACGGGCTGGAGCAGCGGCAAAGTCGACGGCCGACTCATCTCGAACGGGCAGGTGATTTTCAAGCTGCAGTTGACGTCGTCGATCGCCGGACTCGTCGAAGCCGACTACCGTAGAACCGGCAGAGCCGACCTCGTCGTCGTCACGGTCGCGGGAGAAGGTACGTTCGGCGTTGAAAATCACTGACGTAATAAAACGCACGACCGTGGATCTCTGATTGGAGTGCGAGGATACGCGATGGGCTCGGTGCTCGAGTCCGCCGAGCCAGGGGACGCGTATCGCGAGCTGATGGCCAAGAAGCAATCCTTGCTCATGGAGCTGCGGCAGCGCAGCATCTCCGAGTCCAACTACTTCGTCGGCTCGAAACTGGCGATCAGCATAGCCTCTGCCCGCGGTGCTGTTCGTCTCGGCTTGGCCTCGGGACCCGGATTGCTCGTGCGTTTTCATTGGCCCATCTGCCGGCCGTCGCTCGTCCGACGCTACGAGCAGTGTCGCTTTGCAGATTCACTACGCAATGGTGTTCGCCGAGGGCATTTTCGAGGGCGAGAGCTTGGTGACCCATCCGCCGAAACCCCAGGGCGAGCTCGAGATCCCCCTGTATTTCCCGAGGAACGGCCCCATCGACATTCACGTGAAGACTTGCGTGGGCGCTGCCAACTCGGATCTGATGATGGTGCTGGAGCTGACGCACCAGTTGGCGCAGTTCTGCATGTACGAGGTGATCCCGAAGCCAACCGACCTGCCGGACAGCTTCAAGGAATGCGGCGTGACTACGGAGGTGAAAGCTCCCGCTAACGCCGATAGCGACGAGATCCCGGGCGCGCGTCTGTAATAAGTAATAAGTAATCGAAAGCTCGCCCGTCCGCGATCGCCTGAAAATCGCAGATAGCCGAGCGAGCCCAGCGAGTGGCGCTCTGGCTCAATCAGAGCCTCATCCTTTCCACGGAGATCCAAGTGGTGGACATAGGCCCGGAAGCGGGCAGTCTGGAGATCTGGCTGCGTGGCTTGCGCGATCAGAAGGTGCACAACCTCGAGGTGGACCCCACGGGCAGGCTGAGCCTGCGCACCGAGGACCCGTTGTTCGCCGGCGACGTCGTGCAGTCGCTGGCCGTCTACCTCGGCATCAGGGAGCTCAGCTCCGAGGCCAAGTTTCCCGCCGAGGAGCAACGCATGCGCGACGCCCTGGACAAGTTCCGAGGTGCGCCGCCGACCGGTTGTCCTCTTTCGGGCTCGCTCAACGTCGCGTCCTCTCTGGCTCGCAGGTTACAAGGAGGTGGAAGCTCGGCTGCAGGCCGAGAACGCGGGCAGCTCGAGTCTCGTGAAAAACCTGGTGATCCGACTGGAAGATGCAAGGCTAATCGAAAACATCGAGGGGATGAGACGCCGACTCAACCAGCTCAAAGCCGTCAACTCGGATTTGATCAGAGACCACGAGATTCGCTCGAAAAGCTTCGCCGAACTCGTCGCCGTGCTCAAGGAGCTCAACCTCGGTGTTCAGAATGCGTCGCGTCTGCGAGGTTTATTTTAATCCGTGCAAGTGGAAATCACTTGACCGTATAAGCAAATCCGATAGTCACAATATCGTCCGTTACAGTTGGCAAAGCAGCTACGAATTGTGTACAGCGCTGCAGAACAGCCATCAAGGAAGAGAATGGCAAAGCTCTAGCCCTGGCTATGAGGCATGGTTGAGGATTTCACTTATCCGCACGCTTGGACATTTTTATGGTCGAAAGGTAATTTTGACTGAATCATTGACAAAGTAACGCAATACGATCAATCAACATTTTTACAAAACACATCATTATAATTAGAATGCACAAATACATGTAAGTCATAACGTTATAAAATAAAAATCAGATTTTTTTATTAAAATAAGTTTATTACCAATAATGCAGTCTCCAATTGAACACAAATACTAAGCTATTGGCATTTACGGCTTGTAAATACTTAATACCGCTTCATCTAAGATCGATACTGTGTGCTAAGGTAAAACACGAAAATGCGCGAACCATAAAAATCGTCAGAATTCGTACTGCGCGTGGCGTACGAGCGAGCCTAGTGGGGCGCTCCCCTGACGGAGATACTCAATCGTCTTTTCGACAGAGGCTGCTGGATGCTGGGCCTTCTCCTGGCGTCGATGCTACCGTCCGTGGAAGCTCGCAGCCGAAACGGCAGAGCACCAGCCACGTGCCTCTCGTCGCCGCTTTGCGCCACGAGCACCAGTCTCGCCACGCTGACGAACACCGACGTGACCTGCGAAACAGGAGACGCTCGAGACTCGGTCGCGATATTTTGTTGACGAGTCGAGGGAGTGATCACGCGGCAACGCCATGACATTGTTTCTTGACTACCGCACGGGTAAACATGCGCTTGGAAAAATCAGCACGCGCAGCGCGGCGTCAAGACGCTGCGGCTCACTTTTTTCCTCTCTTCCTCTCGACTAGTGATTCCCGACGCGCGCTGCGCGAGCTACGCGAGTTGAGATTAGAAAGTTTCGTAATCTCCGCACTGTTATAATTATAACTTTATCGTGCGTATAAGTGTATATTATTAAGTTCGCTATCAATGCGCGCGTATAACAGAACAAAAAAAAATTGTCGAGTAATTAGTTGTCGAGTGCCTTGAAAAGAAAACAGAGAAACGAAAAGAGATAAAGTTCCTTCTTGTTCTTTTTTCGTTCGTGCACGAATTGTTCGAAGGTTGCGTCGGTTACGAGGCAGCCGCTCATCGCGTCGAATATTAATCACGAAACGTCGATTTTTGCTCAGCCTACATACTTATCGTTTTCGGAAACTTTCACCATCGTCGCGTCCTCCGCGCGCGTCGATCCGCTTCTCTCTCTCTCTCTCTCTCTCTCTCTCTCTCTCTCTCTCTCGATGCCGATAAAAAAAAACTAGCCGCGGAAGTGTTCGCTGTCACCTGCTCGAGCGATTCCCTGGCGGAAATCTCGTGGAAGGCCTGCGCCTCGATGTCTATCGCTCTGCGCTGTCCCTCGGCCGTGGAAACCATCCTGTCGCCGTCGGGCGGACCGGCCAGGTCGGTCTTGTTGCCGACGAGCAGCACGACGGGGTGGGGCAGCTTCTTGCTGGCTTTGCGCGCCTGGTTGAGCAGAAAGCGCAGCCGCCAGGTCTCGTCGAAGCTCACGCGATCGGTCACCGAGTAGACCAGCAGCACCGCGTCGGCCCAGCGAAGCTTCGACTCGCTCGGCGGCTGCGTCGGATCGCCTGGTGGATCCACCAGTTCCCAGCTGGTCACCGACGGGCCGTCCACCCGGTAGAGACGTTCTACCGTGCAGTCGTACTCGCCGATGTAGCGACGCGTCGCGAAACGCACTGCTATCGCTGAAGGCAATTCCCATTTGGAGCATTACAGTCGCGAGACGTGTATCGACATACTTATGCGCTCGAAAAGAAGCCGCGCGCCGTTACAACAGACCGGCAAGAGAGCCGCGAGCGACGAATAGCAAAGGTTGCCGAGCACTCCGTCCCGCGAAAAGCGGCTCGCGCACAAGAGCGCAAGCTCGACACAGTGCGCTCGCAAAAGACGCGCGCGAGCCGAGCAATAGGCGTTGCGCAACGCTCGCAATTATGCAATTGCCGGCGTTTTTTCTTCTCCATTTTCGCCCGCGCCGATCGCGCGCGGAATAGCCGCCCCTCGCGCGCCGTTTACAAACATTGCGCAACGCGATCTATTTCTTATTTCGCAGGCGAGCCGAGAAAGAGAGCGCGAGGCGCTGGCAGCGATACGCGATAGCGCGGCAATCTGAATTTCTTTCACGGGGGCAGACCTCCGAGGAGAAGAAGCTGCGCACGGTGTTTACATGCGCGAGCGATGAGTCAGCGGGTAAGTTTCCCCGAGGACGAGACGCGATAGCCGAGAGACGCTGCACTGACCCGTCTTGCCGACTCCTGGCTGGCCCAGAAGCACCACCCGCACCACTCGCGGAGCCTTGCCGCCAGAGCCGAACTGCCGACTGCCGCCTCCGCAACCCTGCATGCCGAGCCCGCGCTCCGCTGGAAACTGAACGCCCGGCGGCTCCGAGGCCGCCGCGCCGCACGCCGCTCGCCCGCTTTGCATATTCACGAGGCGGCCGCGCGACGTCGAGCGAACGCGACGGCTGGAGACGCGTCGATGGGCTTTTAATTGCCGCGGAAGGGGTCGATCAGTTCCGTGGCCGCGGGCGAGAAGAGGGCCTGCGAGCTGTCGCGGCCGTTGCGCGTTGCGCTTCGATCGGCGCGCCGTCGCTGGAGTGGCGATTCGCCGCGGAAAAACAGAGCGCGGACTTCGATCGGGCGTGCGACCTCGATCGCGTTCGAGCGTCCAATAGTTTTTCCGCTTGGCGCGCCGCCGGCAAACAAGCCTCAAACTCAATTAAGGATTCGCCGCTCGGCCGGCGACAACAACAGCCGCGCGCGGCTCCGCGGCCGACGCGGATAATCGCGCGCCAGAGCTTAATCAGCGCCCGCTGCAGCCGCGGACGCGTCGCGCGCGATTGTTTGGCCTCGGCTCGCGCGGCGACGAGTCGCGTGCCCGTCAAAACAACAGCGCAAGGGATGCGCGCTTTATGCGTGTGTTTACGCCGGCGACGCGCGCCTCGCTCGATTATCGCCCGAGGAAAGTTTTCCCGTGCGGGCGCGACCTATCGCGTTCGCCTCTTTTTCCTCGCTTTCGCTCTTTTCAGAAAGAGAGGCGCTGTCGACTGTCGCCAGTCGCTCGGCGAGCGCGCCAGCTACATTTTGCGGACACAGCGAAAAGTACCTTATCGATCGTTATTATTGCGCGAGCTCGATCGGCATAGACTGCCGCGCCGATTTGCGTATACTCGCGCAAGAGCGCAGTTGACGGCGACTGACCCAGATATATACCATAACAAGTAACGATCGAGCTTCAACTTTCTCTTCGGTCCCCCTCACCTTTCGGCCGCTCTACTTTATTCTCTGTCCGTTCGGGGCAGGATTCCTCGTTCACGCTTAGATGGACCGTAACATCGAGTCGATTGGACATTTTGTTTTGCTGATGCGGCGTTGTTTACTGTAAACGGTGAAGCCGCGAGATACGCAATAATTTGTTTTCAAATTGATAAGAGTGTCCTGGGCTAAGTATCTTATTGGCAGCTTGCATAACCGGAGAAAAATACGCGGAGAATCTATATCGCTGATCTGTCATCTTTGGTCGTCGTTGCTTGGTCATTGGTAAGAGGCAATTATTGATTAGTCAAATCGTCATAACAACAACAACGGCAAGCATAGTCGCGTCGTCGTACAGGGATATCAATTAGCGCGAGTGCGGGTCGGAGATTACGTGCGCGCTCCAACAATTTGTCGTCGACGCGCGGAGCTCTAGACCGAAAATAACCGAGGCAGTAGTTCAAACGTTTATCGGTCAGACGAGGAGTCAGCGCGTGCACGGTGCGGGCGACGGCGCGAAAAAATTGTTTACCGCTGATAGCGCGACGCGCAGATCTAAAAACGATTCGCAATTAAGAAAAAGCGCCAGTCGCACGCGGTTATTTTTAGATGAAAAAAGAATGGATATTCCTTCGCGCTCGCGCGGCGCTTTATCTCGCTTACCGAACGATATACGCGACGTGGAAAACTTTCGACTCTCTGTTTGTCTCTCTCTCTCTCTCTCTCTCTCTCTCTCTCTCTCTCTCTCTCTCTCTCTCTCTCTCTCTCTCTCTCTCTCTCTCTCTCTCTCTCTCTCACTCTTGCCTGCGCGAGCCAACTCGAAGGGTCCTGATGCATATGAGCGAAAGATGCGAGTGCACGATTGGATTCATCGACGAAACCAAGGTGATAAAAATGTGCACTTTACGATCCGGTGGAATAGCGCGATAAGAGTAATCGCCGTATTTTTTGCCTTTTTCTCTCTCTCTCTCTCTCTCTCTCACTCTCCCTCTCAAAAAATAAATGCTTCGAGCTCGTTTGACGATCACATCAGCAATTAACGCGAGAAAAATACCCGCGAGACATCGCGCGCTTTGGAAACAATAATGACGAGCGACGAGCGATTAGCCCGCGTATAGTATAATTGAATTTTACACTCCTTTTTATCTCTCGTTTGACGTGTTGCAAGCTGCATTTGTTTCCGAACACGTACATCGCGATGCCGTTCGGAATGCTCGATAAAACGCCGTGAAAAAAACGCTTCCGCGTCCGTGAACGAAAATACGTTCGGTTACTTTCGCAGGCCGACGACAATCGAACCGAGGCGGCTGGTCACATCTTGGCTATTTCGGCCGAGGTGTCGCGGTGACAAATTGAAATGCAGTCGATTCCAGGAAAGCTTCGTTTGTAATCTAATATTTTTTTGCGATCGAAAAGTGCCAACGATTCCGCGAAATCGTGCAAACGAAAAAGTTCAAGAGCACGCTATCGTCGCCACGATTACAGCGAGAGCTCCGGCTAATTAATCGCGGTTATTTACGCGGCTCGACGACGACAGCGACGTCGCGAGTCAATCGCGAGACTCGGCTGTGCCGAGAAAGAGAGAAAGAGGGGGGGGGGGGCGTTCGCGCTGAAAAGGTTGTCGTTTATGAAACGCGGCTTCCCTTCGGCACCGGCGAGCGCACCAAACTCTCGCCATTCGCTGACCTGTCCAATTCGGCGGCTCTCCGAAAGCGATAACTCGGCCGCGCATCCCCGCGCGAGCAGAGCCGACAAACAGCACACGCCGCTCAAAATACACGCGCAATCTGTTTCCCAGATGTTGGCTATCCTTATCTGCGCGCCGACTCGTTAATACGCGGGGCGTAAACAATCAATCGCGTCCCTCTGTCTGCGCGGGAGCGTCGAAACGCGTGCACGCACAAATTAAACTCAGTCACGCACAGTAATCGTAATTAAAACTAATTAGCCTCGAATTTGTAACCGGCGATACTGCTCGGCGATAACGATTTGTCGGGGTGGAGAGGGGTGAGGCGGGCGGGTGGAGGATGCGCGCGCGCGCGCGTTCACGCATGCATCGTCTTTTTTGTCGCTCGCTCGAGCGACAGCGATATAAAAACCGGCGGCGCGCTCGAAGGGGGATGCGCCTCCGCGCGGGGTTATCGCTCGAGCGCCGACTCGGAGCCGCGAGAGGACTCGCTGCCGTGCGCGGGCGTGTCTACTCTCGGCGATCTGGATCGGGACGCGCCTATTCGCCGCTCGAGACAACGGGCCAGATGCCGATCGCGCGTTTATCCACCGTATCTCTCCGCGGTCACGGGCGAGCGAGCGCACGCGCCGCTATTATCGTCGCTCGCGATATCGAGCTCGTCGGCTCCCTTGCTGAAAATGCGACCTTATCGGACGTTCGGGGTGGAACGCAAGCGACCCCTCGGCCACACTTCGATCGGCAACGATACTTGGAATCGAATGCGAGGTACGTCGGGTTTATAGCGACGCTTCTACGATATATCAACTATAATCCGTTTTCGAAAACTTGATCTAGAAGCGAAACAGATAATGCATGTGATTTCCCGGTAGAACACTTTGCGTTCGTTCAAGTCTGTATCCGACAAGTTTCTGAAATGAACTATATCAAGTGTGAGAACAGTTACGAGAATTTCGATGCCGTGGCAGTGCTCTCGATATCTATTTTGTCAATGTTTGAAATTTGAGAGACACATCGGGTGAAGTGACCAAGACGGCTAGGCCGGAAAGCGGCGAATCAAATGCAAAGATAACAGTAGGCGGAGTGCAAGAGAACCCGACTACCATAATTGCAAGCACTTTGCCATTGGATTGACGGGTAACGAGCTAAGAATAAATAGGCATCGTCAAAGTGCAGCGCTCACTTCCAAGATAAAGGCGAATCAGGAGCTAAGACCGTGAAGTTTACAAGTAATAGACGACGAGACGATAAAGCTAGAATTCCAAGAGACAGCCGCGTCGATGATTTCTCCACAATCGGAGCTGTCGGAATCGAAAACAACAGGCTTGTACGCTGCTATTACCCCTCTAGCGACAGGCGCCACTTGTCTTTTGCTTTCCTTTTTTTTTTTCTTCGGTGATACGACAGATAGGTTCGCCGAGCATACAGGCTGATAACGGACGTGTACGCGGGTACGCGAAACGCGTCGGTTAACGGAAGCAACGGAACTCCGTGGTGGCAGTGCGCAATCGTCGTCGCTCGAGAAGTATCGATTGGTTGGACGCTAGGTTGGTCTCGATCGCTAATCGACCTTTGCTCGCGATATTGCACATCCAAGTGGTCGAGAACCCCTCGGTGCCGATTACGTGGTACTAAAAATACGAGGCGGGCGCACAATCGCGCCGCGGACGAGAGCCTTTCTTCGGTCCTTTGCGAGGTTTGCTTTTTGGTTACCGATCCCTTTGTTCGTAGCGACACAGAGAACGAAAGAGAGAGAGAGAGAGAGAGAGAGAGAGAGAGAGAGAGAGAGAGAGAGAGAGAGAGAGAGAGAGCGACGCGACGTAGCGTTCGCGAGGCATGGAAAGCCCGCGCATCACCTGCAAGTAGTTGACAAGCGATTTCGATCAGACGCTCACCGAGGCGCGCTCGAGCGCCCACGTTCGAGATCGCGACGACCGACAGTGCTACTCTGTTGCCGATATCATTGTAGCTAGACTGACGTTCGCCAAGTGCGACTCGGCATAAGTAATTTGCAAGTTTATCGCCGGAGATAGCTTCGATGCTCTCAACCGCTCTCGCTCGAGATACCGAATTATCATTGTTGTTACATACTTTAAATTGTGTGTTATTCTCGTCGGCGAGGCGCGCAAGGTTGCGGCGATCGATGGGTTTTTTTTCTTCTCTCGTTTCCTCAGCGCAGCAATTGGTTTTGGGGCGCAGTGCAGCGCGGCCTCGGTGCAAAAGGCAAAAAAAAAATCGGCAGGTGAGCGGGCCAAAAACGAATCGACGTACGGCCGAGGAGGCCGCTGTTCCCGCGGGAAATGGCAGTGGAGAGAGGGCTCGTGCGAACGACGACGGTGGAATCGACCGATAATCGATTTTAGCAATTAAACGCGATCAAGCGCCGCGCGACCTGTCAGTGCAAGGTGCAACAGCGGCGCGCGCGACCACGATTTGCGAAAGCCAGCCGACTCGTCTTTCGCGCTTCGCTCTCTTAGGGATGCGTTAGAATCGCCGATCCAGATGTACTCTTTTTTCCGCTCGCGAAGCGCTTATTTCTCGACGACCACGATACGCCTGTTATCGGCGCTGTTTACCAAATAACTGTTTACTTGTCGCGTCTCGGCCTATCTGGCAGGTTTTTTAGCCTATTTGGAACTAGCTCATGCACATGCGGCGACTCGCGCAGACAGGCGGCTTATCTGTCGTGAGCGACATTACAAAGTCGCCCACCGAAGCTCCAAATGAGCGCGAACGATGAGGCCGAGAGCGTCGGTGAAGAGCAAAGGGAGCGAAATGCCGGACTCGGGGCCAATTGGGCTCTGCAATCGGTATCGCCCGAGTGCTTTCCACGGCTTCATCGCCGATGCCAACTATGTTCGAGGCTCGCGCGACGAAAGCCGGCGCTGCGATCAACAAACGAGCGCATCGATCGCGAATTCACAGTAGCGCGAAACAGAGCCGAGGGAACGTCGACGCGGTCGAGGTATTTACTCCTTCGGTGATTGGACGAAACATACCGTGCAAGCTCGATAATAAGCGTACACGGTCATACATCGTTGATGAGGCGAGCTGCGAGCGAAAGTATCACTACTGTCAAGGGCCGTCTTTCTTTCGCTCTCGCTGTGAAACGAGCCGGTACGACTGCGATAATCAAATATTACTTACCGATCTCGGTACACGGATGCGCGGTAAGACTTACCTCGGTTGAGCAGCAACATCAGCAGTAGCGACGGCGACGGCAGCAGCAGCAGCAACAACAGCGAGAAGCGCCAAGCGTTGTAACGAAATCGCGATCGACTGCACAAGTTTCGCCGCGCCTCGCTCGGGTAGCGATTAATCGACTCGGCACTACATGACTACGCGGCGTGACGTTCGCTCTCGTCCAGACGTTGGCCCTATTATCGCGCTCGTGGCGTGCAATCGTCGCTCGCGGATAAGGCGTCCGATGTGCACGCGGGAGACCCTTATCGTGGCCGTGCGCCCGTACCGCCGCGAGCCCGCCGCGCTCTCCTCCCGCGGAGCGCCTTTTCGCCGTCTGCGTTCGGAAGAGGGTTGCGCAAAGCGGATCGGCGAGATCGCGCGCGACGCGAGGCGAGGCCTAGCAGCGTGCCGCGAAAAACAGATAAGAGAAGTGTGCCAAAACCAGAGGCGAGGCAGAACGCGCGCGCCGCGTGCGCCGGCCGCGAACGTGCGACTTATCGTCGCGGGCGGCGGATTCTTTTCCGGCGATCGCCGAAAATAGGCGCGGTTATCGCCCGCGCGCATCGTTGACTAATTGCTCGTTGCGCCACTCGCCGCCGCTAATTGGACTGAGACGTCTATAGTCGAATAAACAATGCCATCAATCTATTTCGTTCTACAAAACGTGGCTGGCGCGGCCGACGGCTGATCTCGATGCGGCGCGCGGCGGCGTGGCCCGTGATCCTGCTGCGCGTCACTCGAGCCCGAGGGCTCGTTTCGCGGCTCCTCGTTCGGCTCGTCGCCCGGAGCCGCGCCCGCAACGCGCACGCGGGACGAAGGCGAAAGGGACGCGCGCCGCTCCGTCGCTATCTGCCGGTACGTGCGGCACGGACGTGCCGACGCGATCGCGCGCGCGCGCCAAATCGGCAGATACGAGTCGGCGTGAGACGCGCGTGCCCGCGCGAGATGCCTCGGCAATTGACGCAGGTAGAGCGGTCGGCGATTCCGACGCGCATCCGGGCGACGCGCGAGACGACAGCTCAGCCGTTATCGCGCATTCCGAAACGCGTAGCGTAACCGGCGGGTGAGTTCCATCGAGGTCTGTTTTTCGGCCTAGAAACGCGCTGCCAGCTGTCGATCGAGCGCTCGAGTAAACAATGCTAAATATAGTCGTTAGCCCCGGACTTGACCGATTCGCCGACGCACGCGCACACGCGCGCCGCGTGACCGTCGCTGGTCCGCAGGAGCGCGTCTCGTGCGCCCGTCGAGGAAGCGGCGAGCTGTCTCGGTCGCCCGACGGCGGTTGACGGCCACGGGACAAGGCCTTGGCCGAGCGCCGACCGCGGCGCAGACGGGCGCGCAGCCACGTGCAAACGGCGCGCTCCGGCTCCGCCGGCGATAGAGCGATCGCAGGCGCAGCCGCCGGGAGAGAGAGTCGGAAATAGGTCGGCCACGAGCGCGAGTCCACGCGAGAGAGCCGAGCCGGAATGGGGAGCCTCCCCCGCGTCCGCCGGCCTAATAATAGCATCGTCAATCACTCACCGCGATAGGCCGGCGCGTCGGCGGCGTCGGGGGAGGACGGCCCGAGGGAGGAAACGAGGACAAGCGCTCGCCGGCGCGCACCACCAGCCGCGCGCGCCGAGCGCCTCGCCGCAGGACCCCGCGGGCCGAAAAGCGCGCCGGTCGCGCGCCGTCGAAATCGGCGGCGGCGGCGGCGGCGGCGGCGGCGGCGGCGGCGGCGAGCGCGGCCGCGGGCGCGATCGGCGGCCGGCAGCGCGGCCCGCGGAGGGGGTCGGCGCGGCCGCGCGATAAGCGCGCGCCGGCCGCCGCGCGAATCGAAAGAAGCGGCGGGCCGCGGCGGCGGCCCGGCTCAGTCTCCTCTCGGCCGTCGTGGGCGGCGCTGTTCGCTCTCGAGTCGGGCATGAGCAGTGGTGGTCGCGCAGCGGGCCGGTGATTCGACGAGAGGTCGCTGCGCTGGTCTTCACCCCGAGAGCTCGCGGCATGGCAGCGGCGCCGAGCGCCCGGCGCAAGTGCCCCGCGCGCCAGCGGCTGCTGGAGCGCTGGCCCACGGTCCTGATGCTGCTGCTGCTGGGCAGCCTGATGCTCAGCTGGCACGAGGCCGAGGCGAACAGCGTGCACCGGCGCTTCTACCGGCGTGCCGTGCGCCTCTGCTCCAAGAACCTCAGCGACGCGCTCTACCTGATCTGCAAGGAGCGCGGCTTCAACGAGCCCTTCGGCAACAGCGGCGAGGTCGAGCGCCACGCCAGCGGGCCCGGCCTCGTCGAGGAGTGCTGCTACAACGCCTGCAGCCTCGAGCAGATGGAGCAGTACTGCAAGCCCGCCTCCAAGTCCGGCTGAGCCGCGCGCGCCGGCCGCGCGGGCGGGGGGCCAGGTCGGGGCGCCGTGTCGCCCCCGAGGCGGCGAGGAGGCGAGCGCGTAGCTTGCCGGCCATGGCGCAGGACGCAAGAGTGAGAAAGCCGAGCGGTGATTTAGTCTTGTATAGTCGAAACGACACGAATAAGTCTTGTTGCACTGCTGCCGCTGCCGTCGCCGCTGCTCGTCGGCGATACGCGAGGAAAGACCGCGACGACGAGAGAGTGATAACTTTCGAAAGGTTCGCTGCAAAATACGTGTAGATATGATTGTACGTTCCCGAGCTCTCTCTCTCTCTCTCTCTCTCTCTCTCTCTCTCTCTCTCTCTCTCTCTCTTTCTCTCTCGCTCGCTCTCCCGAGTATATACATGTAAAATGGACTCGATACAACGGCATTGTGTCTCTGCGTACGAGTGTCCGAGTGTACTTTCAGCGCCAATGTGATACATGTAACATTCCGCTTGCGATTTCGTTCCCTCTCCGTCGGATCGGCGCGTGGAGCTCGCGGCGACTAGTGTGGCGAGCCGATCTCATCCGTTCTTGCCCCGCTCCCACGCCCTTTTTTTCTCTCTTTGTCGACCGACGATGATCTCACTAGTATTAACTCTCGATTAAGGCAAACGTGATATATCTTGTGTATATTTTACAATAATCGATTAATAATGTAACGACAGAGCTGATGCATGTGTGTGTATGTGTGCGTGTGCATGCGAGAGAGCAAAAAATGGCATGTAAAGTATAGATAGTACTATGTATAGTTCTCGACAAACAATGTATATAGTGTGCGCGTTTCTTGTATATACACAGCGTGTGTGCGTAACAAACCGGCATCGATTTCTTACGATTCTCTTAAGATTTTTTGCTGCGCTGCGTCGGCAAGCCAGCGCAACGCCAAGAAGGTAATAAAGTATATAAATGCGAGAGGCATGAAAATTACACAGTGTTTGAGTTGTTGTTTGGTTGTTGTTTCGAAAGCTCTTCCCTCCCCTCCCTACGTGGCAGCAAGGACCTTGAAGCTCGCGACTCGATCTCTTCTCTCTGGCTCTTACGTGGCAACTACGCCAACGAAGGAAAGAGAGAGAGAGAGAGAGAGAGAGAGAGAGAGAGAGAGAGAAAGGAAAGTAATAATAATATGCAGTACGAGGTTGTTGCCTCCTCCTCCTCCTCCTCCTCCTTCTTCTCGCAACCGAGAGATAATTGCGGGTAGCGAGTGTAATTTTCGCGGGCTAAAAATAACGACAATCATCTACTATGCATTCCTCTTATTGTTGCACACTTGTCTCGTAGACATACACATGTGCTTTTTTTTACAATTGCGATATTTATTTACAGCGGCGCTCCGTGCAAGCGAGCGCCAGATTGGGGTTACACACAGAACAGCAGCGAGAGAGAAAGAGAGACAGACAGACAGACAGACAGACGGAGAGAGATGATGCTGAGGCACGCCCGCGACACGTGTCTCTTTCGCGCATGTACACAGAGCAATAAATACATGTTCGCCACGATAAGGCGACGATAGTGGCGCCCACGAGAGAACGCATGCAGCGTCCAAAGTTATATGCGTCGAGTGGCAACGACGTCGGCGAGCCGGGGAATTGCGAGGGCAGAGGGTCAGTTGAAGGGACAGTCCGTTCTCATCTTGCAGTGGTCGATGTCCTTGCAGCACTGCTCGATCAGCGGCCAGACCTCTTTCTGCACCTCCTCGCGGCTCCTGGCGCCTCGCGGCATGCGCTCGTAGAACTCGTCGAGCAGCTCGACCATCTCCTCGTAGCTCATCTCGAAGCCCACCTCGCTGTGGCTCTCCTGCAACAAGGACGCTCGCGATCAACGCCAAGCCTCCGAGCTATCGGGACGCGAAAGCCACCCCGAGACGCGTGGACGCGCTGAGCTTCCAGGACGAGCGTTCGACGTACCTGCGGCAAGGACTCGGCCCTCGGCGGCTGCACCCGATAGACGTCGGCGTTGCTGGCCGGAATAGGCGGCGCGTACTGGTGCCTCGGGTAGATCGGGTACGACAGGCGGTAGATCGGCACCCTCGACGCCACGAAGATCTCGTGGATCGACATGATTTGGCGCTTGGCTGCGTGCTCGTGCCCCGGCTGCCTGTCGCCTGCGCAGAAACACCAAACCCTGAGAGCTCGCGCTACCGCGGAATTTTCTTAACGCTCGGAATATTCCGATGAGATTGGCTTGGGCACGCGCGGGGGCTATTCTTTCGGCGATCGTCTCAACTGCACTCTCTCTCTCTCTCTCTCTCTCTCTCTCTCTCTCTCTCTCTCTCTTGCGCGCACTGGGGAAGCACGCAGAAAAATAGAAGTGACCAAAGAGAGCCGATGAAAGGCGCAAGCTATAAATAAGCGAGCGCTATCGCTGGTCAGCGAACGAAGCGCGCGGATGAAAAAGTGACACCAGCAGACTGCTTTCCCACAGCGCGCTCGAGATCGGATCCGACGCGCGCGCGGAAGCAAGGGCCGGGCGAGGATGCGTACTTGGAAGGGCGCCGAACGAGTCGAGGAGCGGGCTGCTGCGCTTGCTGCGGAGGTTGCACCTGTCGTAGATGATCGTCCGGATCTTCTTCTTGCACTTGTCGGCGGCGCAGAACCGCGCCAGCGCGGCGATCGTCGCGAGGACGACGGCGAGGCGGAGCACGACTCGCGGTGACATGGCGAACGCGGTTTACGGACCGAAAGTGCGTCTCCACGCGCCCGAGCCGCCGGCTTTTAACAATTGTCCGCGGCTCGCGCTCTTATCCGTCCTACGTGTCGCAATTGCCGTCTCGCAATCTATTTTTTTTTCTTCTCGTTCTTCTTTTACTCCGTCGCGGCGTCATGCCCCGGGAATGCGTCGACGAGGACTTCGACAGGCGCGCGGGACTAGTTCCGCCGCGAGGATAACGAGCGCCCAGGGGAGCGCGCCGAGAGCCACGGATAATTGCGCGCGCGCGCCGCCGCCGCCGCCGACCTCGAGTTTTCGGGCGCCGCGCTTTGTCATTACAGTGCCTTTCGAGCGACCGCCTCTCGCCGCTCGAGCCTCGAAAACAACCCGCGTTATCGTTCGAATATTTTTGCCGATACGAGCGTCGGAAAAAAATGTTGTTTTGCAGTTCGCGCAGATTCCAGCGTAGTTTCTCATCGTCGCCTCGAAGGACGAACAAGAACGAAGCATCACCCCATACATGCGCCACGCGGCGACTCGACGTTCCGGCTCGTCGTGGCAATGATTTTTGCGCGCGCAGTCGATTAGTCGACAGTTAGGCCGCGCGCGCGCACCAGCGTTATTAAGCGCTCAGCAATCCGGGCAATGCCGCGTAATCTGTCGCTCGTGGATTCGCATGTTTGCTCCCGATGACGGAATCGCCGCGCGTGGACAAAGGCCGCGGAATTTCGAGGCGGATAAGCGCCGCGTACGCGAGGTAAACTATGATCGACCTGCGCGAGTGGCCTACATACTTGCGCTCGGTGTCGTCACGGTCGCGCGGCCGCATTATGAGCGAGCGACGCCGCGGACGACGCACGCACCCGGCCGCGACACTTCGTCGAGCGTCGGCCACTCGCGCGCGGACAGGACCTCGCTCTGCACAGAGACGGGCGCACGCACGTCGGCCGGCCCGGCCGGCGGCAATTCCGCCGCGGCTCTCGCCGATGGACGTGCGTACGCTCGTGCAACCACGCGACTTTCGTCCCTCTTCCCCGTCGCGGCCACTTGGACGGGGGAGCGACCGCCCGATCGCGCACTTGTCTTTGACGCTTTTTGCCGACGGCGAGGGATACGACGTTTGCAGCAACGAGCCGCACGAGCGCGACGCGCGATCGATTCGAAAAAAAGAGCGCAAGCGGCAACCACCCGCCAAATCGGCCCGATCGACTGCGGGCGCCGTCTCGCGGTCGTTTCCTCAAGCAATGCGCCCAGACTGAGACTTCAGACTAGTACTACCAGAGATTAGTAGGGAGATTGCTGACGGCAATGCTTCCGAGCGTGCCCGACAAATGTTACTGGTTCGAGCGCCCCGTAGTGGCCAAAGCACCGAAGCTGACGCACATTTTCGTTCGGCGCGAGAGGGGAATACCAAACGTGCGTCTAATATACAGAGGAGAAGAAGAGAATGTGCGTCTGACCAATCACGTTAGCCGATAGGCGGGGCGAAGCAAGAGTGCGAGTTTGAGCACTCGAAGAGAATTTCGTCTCGGCAAATCTTTTCTCTTCGACCAGAATAAAGGCTTCGATTCCCACTTGATGCAATTTTTTTTTTTTTTCATAATTAAATATCTCGAAATATCTTAATTATTACAGCAAATATCTACAACTTAAGCCCTTTTTTTAATCACAAACCCTCGTACATTTCTATGAACATATGTAACTTTCGTACAATTGAATCCTAGTGTGTTGATAGCCGAGATGGCTAACGCGTGCTGCTTGATTTCATTTTTGTCGTCCCGGGTTCCAGTCCACGTAGATACCATAGATAAAATTTTTTTTTCTCACAATTAACTCACAATTAATTTGTATGATAACGAGATTAATAAAAAGTACAATCATAAGTTTTCTTATTCTTTGCCATTTATCCCGTTCTTGCCATTACATTAAGTGAATGAATATATAACTTTAATAATAGTTAATTCAACTTTAATAAACTAATATATTATCATATACATCATAATTTTTATATTTATAATTTCAATATAAATTCGAACTTCATTAAGTATGAAGTTAGACCGACGTCTCGAGTTGGGTTCAATTCCTACTCAATGTTATGTTTTTCCTTTGGTTTTAACTTTTTTTTAGATATAATTTATAAAGGTTCTTTCAGAAAATAACTCATGTCTATTTATACAGCTCTTATTAATTATCTGGGTATGAGGATGCAGTTCCTTTTGACAGGGTATTATCACACAAAAGTGTAAATTTATACTACCGACTGATCTTTTTCAGGTACATAATCGTAATGAGAAATAATATTTATTTCTTGAACGGTTATAATATTGATTTTATGTCCAGAGAACACATTGGTACACGTGTTTTGACTTCAAATTTCGAACGTAGAAAGCATCTGACATTGACGTTAATATTTTAAAGATCACACGTCTTATTATAGTCAATAGCGTTTCGATAATTACTAGAATTGATACTTTGCAAATTGAGCATTCTTCTGTTAATCTGCGTGCTTTAACATAATACACGCGTTAATATTAATGATTTAATACATCAATTCAATTTAAACAAATCAATTTAATAAGCAACTTCATAAATTATAGCTTTTATAGTATACATATAAAGTTAAGCTTAATAAATTGTAGCTTTTATAGTATACATATACAGATGTTACATCCAAATAATATAAATGGGTAACGTAGATATATCAATATACTTTTGTTTATATAGAAAACTAAACAACACTATCGCATAACAGTTAACAGTCATTGCCTTATTTCACGTATACGCCACTCCTATAAATTATTTTCTCCTTTATTAATAATATTACTTTGATTATTTGCATAATTATGTAAAAAAAACGAAAAAATTCCATTATATCCGTCTTGTAGATTTTACAAAATTAAAAGACACGTATTTTTTCTTTTTTCGATCAATAGAAAATTGACTGAGTTACAGCGTGCCAAAGGTACCCACGATTATTCGGATATATGCAAATGCTATGTTATCGTGACGTCACGGAAAGCTTTATCGCGCTCTTTCTCGGCCAGTTTTTGATTGATTAAATAAACAAAAAATACGTGTCTTTTATTTTTTAAACATCTACAAGACGGATATAATAGATTTTTTTCGTTTTTATACATAATTTGGCTTACTATCGAATGTTTTATCATTAATTAATACTAATCATTTAAATGTTTCAACATTTTAGAAATACTTGTTATTCAAGCTCCCAGTTCGTATTGTAATTTGAATTGTCATATTAACCGCCTTTTTTAAATGCCCTTTTCTTTTGTTTTGGCGGTTATTAATGTGACCGAGTATCGGCTGTCAATTCGCGCTCGAATCTATCATTGTCGTTCTGGCACCTACGTGCGCATACTAAGGGCCAGTGATAAAAGTTTTCTTGATAATAGTTTTGTGATAAAAGTTTTCTCGATAATAGTTATCTTAAGGTGCTTTAAGTGAAAATAGTGAGTAAAAAGTGAAAAAAGTGAGTGAACAGTGATAACAGTGCGTGAAAAGTGATTAAGTGAACGTGCAATCAATCGTACACGATGGCGAAAACGTACGATTTTTGCCAGTACAGACTATGTAACAATTCTAGGCTCAGCGGTCATCAACTTTTTCGCTTCCCCGATGCATCGACTCAGGAAAACCGCCACAAGCAATGGATTGACAACGCAGGTAAGTTAAAATTAATTAGATTTAATAAAATTGCTTTCTTTTTGTCTCTGTTCTCTCTCTCTCTCTCTCTCTCTCTCTCTCTCTCTCTCTCTCTCTCTCTCTCTCTCTCTCTCTCTCTCTCTCTCTCTGTCTCTTAACCATGCCATTTGTTGCACTCTCTCTCTCTTTCTCTCATTCTTATTCCGCGATGTTTGGTACTTTCTTTCTATTTTTTTACGCTATTTGTTGGGCTCTTTAATTTTTTTTGCAACTTCTGGAACTCTCTCTCTCTCTCTCTCTCTGTCTCTTAACCATGCCATTTGTTGCACTCTCTCTCTCTTTCTCTCATTCTTATTCCGCGATGTTTGGTACTTTCTTTCTATTTTTTTACGCTATTTGTTGGGCTCTTTAATTTTTTTTGCAACTTCTGGAACTCTCTCTCTCTCTCTCTCTCTCTCTCTCTCTCTCTCTCTCTCTCTCTCTCTCTCTCTCTCCTCTCTCCCTCTCTCTCTCTCTCTCGCTCTCTCTCTCTCTCTCTCTCTCTCTCTCTCGTGTTGACGATCGTTATATCCGGATTACGCGCGCTCGCGGGAGCTTGCACGAAAATCACGCGCTCCCCCAACGCGTGCGTATACACGTATTATTGTGATATCCCCGCAGCGTGTAAATAGATTAGCGGCTGAAACGCGCCTCTCTCTCTCTCTCTCACTCTCTCATTTGCTATATCTACGTTTAGGAGATTTAAATAAAAAATTGGTGACTGAAGACAAGATGAATAGTGATTGTCAATTATAAATTTATTAAAAAAGAATTTTTACGCGTTTCACGCATGTTCCTCCGATTGTTGAGAGCAGTTTTTTCAATTTAAGTAGGAATCATACGTGTGAAACGACTGTGATTTGATACTTTCTTACGATCTTAAAAAAATGAATTAAAACAATCAATAAATTAAAAATTGCACACGCGTCGAGCTTTTGCTGACGTACGACGTTTAAAAATCAAACGTATTAATGATGCGAATATTAAAATATGAAATATAGCCAGCGTAATTAGTATAATTTCTCGTTGTTTGAACTATGCTTGACTGTGATATTTTTAAGTCAGACTTCCTTTTGCTTGAGTACTTTTTATTTATATTTTTCTAATGATTTTTTATAGATGATAAATAAGTTAATATAATTAGATTTATGGTTTTACATTGTAAGTTAATTACTTTTTAATTTTTGTGGCTGACTTTCCAAATTATTTAACGATGTTTAGTGAAGAATGGTTTAATTAACGAAAGTTAACATTCGTGAAAAATCAAGAATTTATTTATTTCAAAATACTAATTGCTATTGTATTATTTTAAAGTTGAAAAATTGTTATTAATAATCATAAAGGCGTCATTAAAATCATACATCAGATTTCTTAATT